TTACCGCTCCAACAAACACAACTCTTGTGCCCCGGCAGAAGCCGAGGACCTCTGAGTAGGTGGCCCTGGCTCCTGCTGATCTTTGTGGGGCTCTGTATCTAATCCACAAGCACAGAAGGAATTGTATCTCCCTGCAAGGAGAGTCAATGAGAAAACCCTCAGGCATGTTTCCCAAAAGAACTACTCAGTCCCCAGATTATATCTTTACTTCCTATGTTATACAACATGAGGCATCTTTCAGCAGAATAACTTAAAACTAGTGCTAAAATATGACAATAATAATCTAAATTAACAAATAGCAGAACTGGTATAAAACTCAAAGCTTCAGCAACCCAGCTCCTCAACAGCATATATACAACCACAATCAAAAACCCATTTATAAAAGAAGAAACAGCCATGTACGGCAGAATGCTACAGAGTTAGAGCAGAGCGTTTCAAAAGCATAGACCTTAGATGGGGAATATCAGTCTATTTCCAGTTTGTGAGCCTGTGAACATCTACTGTAACTGCCATGTTTTAGTGAATGTGAAAGTAAGCCACATGGCAGGCAATCACTGTTTGCAGGATCAGGGTCTATGATGTTTCCCACAAGGTTTTGCATTATTGCAATAAATAATGCCAAGAATGCTCACTGCTTACATATCAAAATGCAAGTCGCCTACTAAGAACGTTACATAATGAGGGTGAAATGAGTGAGAACCAAAGTCCATGTCTCTCTTTGAGCAGTTCTTACTACAAAACCTGTGGTGAATAAACAAGAGACCATATCCCATTCCTTTAAAGTCACTATAGCCTGAAATTCTGCAGTAAAAACTCACAAATCATAGTTTTGATCTTTTATCATTGTTTTCTGAATGAAACTACATGAAAAGAAGCTTGTTTTCATAAGGCTTTTGAAAAAGGATAGGTCTCTCAAAAGTGGCAACGTGTCATTTAGAAAAATAAAAATAGAGGCATAGTCTACTTGTGACTTGATAGAAATAAGCATATGAGATTCTGTTAAATACTATTGGCAAATATATACCCTGGAGTTACAAATAGATACACACAGATAAAGAAAGGAGTAGGTAGATGTGTAAAAATATCACTGGGAGTAACTCTTGTTATACTAACTGACCAGGCAAAATATACACGTTCATATTCTACTCTGATCAGTGATATACACTTGAATATTTATATAATTTCCAGTAGTTGTTAAATAGTTCATAGCTGATTTCCTTGATCAAAGATGCAATACACAGACATCAGCTTTGAGATTACGATGCAGTCTACTCAGCTTTTGGTTTCACCCAATTCGTAAAGTAGGGAAGAACTCTATTCTGTACCTGGATTGGGCTACAAATTAATTAAAATATCATAATGCAATAATGAGATGAATAATCCACACTAATAATTTCTTGTGCACAAGGCTGAACATATGTTTGCTCTCAGATAAACACAAAAAAGTGGAAATAACAGAATAACTGGCATCAACAGCATGTTAAAATTTGATCAGAGATCAAGCTGAACACTGCACTGCCTAGTCCTGGGAATAGTCTTGCTGCCTTACTCTGGTACTCAGATTTCTACAGTTCACTGTAGAATGTCTGATGAATGGCAAAAAAAAAAAGCTATATGATGTGTGTATATGCAAAAGAAATTATGACTAATGTTAGAATGTATTGGTAAACCTTTGCCTTCACATTTTTAAGTACATTTATTGTACTTTGCAGCATGGGGGCGTTGAGACTTCTGAGGCCAAGATAGATTCTTTTTGGCACTTGTTTTTATTTGATTTGATATCTTCATAAGAATGTCCAAAGTACCACGAGCGATGCTTCCAACATACACAAATTCAAAATATGGTTAAACGCGGTCCTTGAAGATTCGGAAGCTGAAATCACTTACTGAAATGAACAAGCCTTCTATCAAGTCACAATCATAAAATCAGGCATAAAACAAACAGGTCATGGGAACGCCTTCATTCTGGTCAAGGATATAAGGGTTAAATCCACATATTTGTAAGATGATTGAGAAAACCTACTGGAAGCATGATCAACCCAAGGCCGCCACCACAGCTTTTTTTTGCCCTTGGCTTTCTCTTTGTCTGCTTCTCCTAAAATAAAATACGTCCAAATATTAATTTTACAAAATGAGAAACATATTTCTTACAGTGCTTAATCATTTTTCATTTCTCTCAAAAAAGCACATCAGATGTTAGAACTACTGAATACATTCTATAGAAAAATCATTCAGAAGTATGACTGCAAAGTACAAATGCTCTAATTCACCCAGCAGTTAAAACACGATTCTAGTCTAAAATAATGAAAAAGTGCAGTTTTGTGTTTTAAAACACACACTCACACTTGACTGTAATTTCAAGAAAAAAAATACTCTGAAAACAGATAAATTCTGAGTATTATAAGAAACAATGTTCACTATCCATATATGCATTACCAACTAACCATTTCTGTGTATTTTTTCCATTAGAATACGGAAAAAGAAACAAAAAGCTACTTATGCAATTATATTTATACTTCATTCAACATTTTTAAACAGATGCTATAAACTTGATTTGGCAATAACTTTAATAAATGGTGAACGGAAACTAAAATTTCTGAATTCAATTACTTGGTTTTCAGTTCCCTGGAAGATAAGGAATATCATATTAGACAGAAACACACTGGTCATCATATTCAGTCCCCATATGACCCATACAGAAATGCATCCTCCCCATCCTATCTACTATCCCTAAAAATCCTCTGACATTTCAGGTTCCAAAAATTTAAATCCATAAGCGTTGTTTCCTACTTAGCTGGTGCTGGAAATGTGGCACAAGATAGGTATTATTTTATCTGTTCCCATGTTTCAAACAACATTAAAAAGTGTACAAATATTTCAGTGACTGAAAAAAAGGACCTCATCACATTCAAAAATGTTGCTGGAAAAATGTAAATGCTACCTAATGGTAACACCGTGGATTATAAATAAATACTGCTCCAAAAAAACTCTACTGCTATTCAGCTCTTCACTAACAACCCAAAGTCATCCAAAAGTAACTTCAAAGCAAACCATTGTCCCCAAAAACTTCTTGCAGTACAAAACCCCATAATATTTTGGCTGACTCGAGCTCTAAACTGATATTCAGCTAATAATCTTGTCACATGATGCCAGTTTTGAAGAGCAGTTTCTCATTTGCCCAGCTATTGGGCCTACTAGGTTTTCAGAGCTGAATTGCAAATTCCAGCACATTTGTGGTATTACAACTGCTAACAGTACCTTCATCATCTTCCTCAGAAACCTTCTGAAGGTCTTGCCCTTCTGATGACTCCTGGTTCATGCTCAGCATTCTCTCTTTACCCTTTTTATATTTTTGCTGCCTGGCTTTGATGCGATCCATTCTAGGAAAAAAAAAACCGTATTAGACTGGGGTCTTCAATCCTTTTGACCCACTCCGAAAAACAGCTGTTAAACACATCCACACGCACATGCACTCCAGCATTTTTAAAGGAAACACCCATTCCATATTGGCATTAATCTTGCCCTTAAAAATAAGGAGTTAAATAGCTCTGAAAGGGCTGGCTATGAGGGTCAAGCCTAGAGGGTTGCTGTTGAGAACCTTACTTGCTTCTCCTAAACTAACTTCTTATTTTAAAGAAGAAGAAATTGCAGCCAGGAGGTACAATGCAGAAAATGAAGTTCTGAGAAAAAAGGAGTTCTGCCTAATGCAATTGTTTTCTGGAAACTTGCCAGTACGAATCAGGCATCTGGCTGCTCCTACACTTCTTGTGCTACATCTTCAACCCTTAAGCTTGCATATGTCCCACATATCTGGAACTGCAGGAAACTTAAATTGTTTCAGTTTTGTCCAGATGTAGCCCACCTTCAATTCTCTTTCTCACCAGCCTGTAAGCACTTGGCACAATCTGGTCTTTTTAAGACTTCTAAGATTTCACATTTTGTAAAACAGGAACAAGAAAATTGAAAGCAACAGTAATAAATTATTTGACTACAATTGGGTTGGAGGCAAATGAATCACTAATTGTAGTGATCAAAATGCATTTAAATACTTTTTTTAATCTGATCATTTGTTAGGGAAGAAAACACCTTTCCTCTTAGGTAGTTACTTTTATTGTAATTGAGTGGGTGATTAGTTTTCTTTCCCTTTTCCCTACCCTTCCTTCCTCCATTCATTCAACTGCTGCCGAAGTGTCTCCATGTCTGTCAAGCCAACCTGGTTGTTCAAAACTTCTTGCTGTGCTGACAGTTTACTTCATCCCAACCAGCCTAAACTGTGTGAAGTACTGACACACACACTATTGACTGCAATAAAATAAGCACCCTTAACTTCCCTATTGTTGAAGTCAGATATTCTGCAAGCCTAAACCAACCACTTTTATAGAAACACAGACTAGCTCTATTGCTGTTGTAAGGACTATCATCTCCTTGATCTCAAACACTGTAGAATTAACAGAAAAGATGACTCCCAGGACAGGCACTTCTTGTCAATTAGGATAAGAATGATTCAAGCACAGAGTAGCACCAGCAACAAAAACAGCCTGTGGAAACCCTACAGCCCAGAGAGTAGCACCAGCTCAAAACATCTTATGGGAAGCGTCAGGCACACAGGTAGGTAGGAAAGGCCTCTACAGCCTTCAGACATTTCTTCTGTTACGCAGGCACGGAGGGAGCTGTTGGGAGCAGGCTTTGATGTTTGGTTAGGAAGCAGTTATGACTTATCGTGCATGGTGATGGAAGGGCTTTGAAAGCTTTCTGCAGTTACAGAAGAAGCAGGAGGTGGCGTGGCTTACTGGCTGTTCAAAGAAAAAGGCTCTCCAGGCCAGTTAAACTGAATAAATGCTTTTCAGTGAAGGTAAAATGTATACAGTTTGTATCCAAACACCAGGGAGGAACTACAAACTAAACAGAAGGAACAGGCATGCAGCAAGTTTTACCAGGAATACAGCTACACAGAACAAAATCCTAATAAAGGCGAATTCAATGAGAATATCGCCAACCACTGCAGCAGGGCCAGGATGTTACTCAAGTTCCTTAGTCCTCAGTGTTTTTAAGCTATTTAGCTGATACTTAACTACACCCTCCCTAGCTAGGCCCCTTGCTGCTCGTATTTCTGTTTTTTTTAAACACAATTCCTGTGTTTTAGGCTCCCATTTTTTAAACAATCTAGGCTTGCAACCTTCAAGCGGGACAGGGTTAACATGGCACCCTGTTATTGGTAGTCTGCCCACCCTTTTCATGAGTTTCACAGGGAGATTTGCATTTGACTGTCCTTTTTCCTACTTTTCTGAGAGATGGGGAAAGACAATGTGGGAGAATAGCAGGGTAACTATTAGAAAGAAAGACAGAGGAAAAAAAGCCTTTTTTTCAGTTCCTCTTCATTGCATGCATTCATACTACACAAAATAGGATAACCCAAAACCACAAAATGACCTGGACCTCCAACAGAAAACAAAACGAAGCACCCATACCATCCCTTAAAGAGAAAGGCTATATGTTACATTGATATGACACTAAAGCGTGAAACAATTAAACGCTGATCTTGTTAACTTGTCATCATTAGACTTGAAAGGTTTGAAAGAGCCTTCAGAATGAACAGCGATGTTCACACCTTCTATTTTTTCTGTAGAAAATGTCTGTTTCTGTTACAATCTCAGGCTCACTCCAGAGTAGGTGAGTCAGTACATTCCATTGTGGTTTTTGATGTCAACCTCACAGCCTTCGGTCCTAGAAATGCAATTTTATTTCTAAATGAAAGTTTAGATTCTACAGCACATTTTGGGAAAAGATGGATCTACAACTACATAACGTTGGGATACCTCAGATTTCTGAATTCCCAGTGCAGAATTTTTGTAATCATCAAATCTGATGCTTTTGATGAAAAGTCAAATCAGCATTTCTATAAAAGAAGGGGCTAGATAAAAATCATAATCAACGAAATACATATACATACGCATATATAAAAATTACATACTGTCTCTTCAGTTGATCCATTGATTTTTTTTCCTCTTCAATTCTTGCCTTTACAGCCTTGACAATTGTAGCCTGAAAAAGCTCAGCACCCCTACAGCAGAAATGAGGGCATAAAGGAGGAAAAGAGGAGATAAAATACTGAATGTTTCTAAGTTTCCTTTACGCTAGCTAATCACAGAGAACCGCTCCCTCTGTACACTACTTCATCTGCATCAAACAGAACTATTCCAAGACTGAAAGGAACAATCAGTGAATCTGGAATAATAATTTGTGTACAGTAATCATTTCATTTTGAGATTTCCGGCCAAATGTTGTGATCCCTACACAGTCTTCTAGTTCCTCTAGCCACTATTTGGGGATTTGAGTTTCCAGACCTCAGGAACTTAGAACACTGACGGGCTTAAGGCTGAGTCTGGACTTCTTGCACACATCCAGGATTTTATCTTTATAGACATTTCAGCATTGTAACCATCGCACCCCTCTGTCCCAGGCCCCTGGCAGCTGTGAGCAAAGCTGGGCTTTATCCAAGACCATGATGAGCACAGCCTCAGCTTCACTTTCACCATCTGAACGCTACAGTGCTTTCTATCTGATGACACAAATCACTGAGAAAGTTTCCGGTCTGCCAAAAGAATTTCCAGCTCTATCTCACTAAAATGTAATTGACTCAGTGATTTGGATGGCCAGATCGCTGGGTCATTTCTTCATTATTCACTCATTTGCTACCTCTCTCAAAGAAGTAGAATGGATTTGAAGCCTTTTTTTAAATCAGGAATTTAATAGGAACATCCATAGGTTTCAGAAGTCTACTTTTCATTAATTTTTCAACTATCTTTTCTGTGAAATTAGTGATTCTTCCATGTAATTTCCAGGATGATCAGAATGACATTTTTTCAAAGGAATTTGATCAAGACTGGCCATCATTTCTGTCCCAAAGTATGGCAGTTAAGTACAACAAAGAATGACACACACGTTCTCTTTAGCAACTTGATGACTCCTGAATTCCTGTGAACTGAACTCTTGGAAACTGACTCCAGAGCCTCATCACTGTTGTTCAGATCACAATTTAATCTTGTTTGGATAAGGATTTTGTATTTCACAATATTAACTAAAGACAGACTGAGACCATACTGTCTGAATCCAAATCTGACCTTCTCCATAATCCAAGTAACTTCAAAACTTGGGTTTTAGCAAGCCAAGTAGTCAGCAAAAAATTTCAATTTTATCACTATATTTATATAATCCTTTTTCCTGTAAAATCTAGGAACTTCCCAGCCATTAGTATGTTTATCTCTACAAAGCTCCTTAGCCAGTATGTCTCCACTTTTGCTGTTGGAGAACTGAAGCCTGGGTAGGTTCAGTAGCTTACCCAGAGATACAAAACAAAACTTGAAGTAGGAACTAAACACGTTTCTTAAAACCTAGCCCAGTGCCAGTTACATTAGTCTGCTCTTTCCTTCCGGATACAAACTTTCCGATACAGGAAACACTTTGATACCCATGATTTTGGGCTATTTTTGCTGTCAACGGAGCATAATAACTGAGTTTTATGAGATACAAAAATGCAGCACCCAGCAGTCTTGCGCATCGGCAGCGATATGCACCCTGGAGCAGAAACACTGAGAGAGGTAATACACGTCTGAAGCGCAGATCTTTTATTGGCTCTATTACAGCAGGGAATTTTGTTCAGTATGGACAGCTAAATGTAACTCCTTTTTAAAGGAATCCTTGAAGGGGGAAGGAGAGGGAAGATAAAAAAGACTTCCTTTCAGGAGATGCAAGCCAAGTTTTGCCCTCAAGCACAGACACCGAAGTTAATGTGCTTTGTGCATATATTTCTCTGGAGGGGGAAAAAATACCATGATATATTTAATCTGACAAAAGCAAGTAAAGTGCTTCAGAAATCTTCCTGAAATTAAAATCAGATTAAAATCAAATTAAAATTTCAGATCAAATCAAATTAAAATTTCATTCCTGATCTGCCTTCTTAGTGAAAATCAGAAGAATGGTCGTGCTAATGATAACTCTGAGTGGATGCTTGTAGGAGAGCATAAGCAATAGACAAAGTGACACTTCCCTGCCATAGTCAGAGTTCAGTGATCTGACACTCAGGGTGTCCCCAAGCCAGATGTCATAACTTTTCTGCATTTCTCCTCATGTGACATTTCTGAAGTCGCTATTGTCTCAAACTGACTCTGACAGTAGAGTGTTTTCTCTCCAAGACTTAGAAATTTTGGCATTCGCTCCCATACATATCGAGAGAATGCTGCAACCTACATCCACTTTCCCAGGTTTTAATAAAGGCAATGAGACCAGCAGATGGTGTTTGGTAGGTACGGATGGTTTGACTTTGCATCAGATTCTCAATTAATTTGTTTTCTCATGTGTCCCAAGTAAGGTTTGGGTTTGCAATTATTAATTTAGCATGGATTGCTTAATTTAATGTTAGAGGTCTAGACTCTTTTGGTAGTATCATAAAAAAACCAAGCAAGGTAGCAATGAGAGATTCGAGCTGTTTAATTTAATTTTTTAAAACTGAATGTTACCTTGATGCCAGGATCTGTGAAGCTTTTATATCAGCAACCACATGCAGGAAGTAGTAACTCATGAAGACTCTTCTTTGTAGCAACAGGAAAGCAAAACATATGCTGTCCCAGATGATTCCTGCTTCACCACTGGGCAGTTTACAATCTAGATTGCCACTTGCTGGAAAAATACACCATCAGCATCAGGACTGCTGCATTAAATATTTCTTTATAGTGCTTAATCAATTAAATGAACTTAGCCTTTAAAGCATTTAATGAGGTCTTTTAATTTTTTTCTTAAGAAAATTGACATGCCTTTCCATTTAAAGTATCCTATATTTTCTTTTACAACAAGTTGGAAAGTTTCCAATAATTTGATTTTCCATGAAAACTGACAATTCACCAAAAGTGAATCACTTTGCAAACAAATTCCCCCTATTCTAAGAAGTATTTGAAAACAAAGATCAGGAATAAAGGATTTTTCATTAGCCTGAAACCCTTCATTTCAGCATTTTTTGGAATGGCATGTTTCATTTTTCATTTCAAAATGACTTTTTGTCTCTATTTTCTATTAAAAAAACTCAGCGACATGAGAGGGAAGTGTTCTAGATTTGTCAAAATAAAAACTTTCAATTCACTGCCACTACCTAGTATTTTTCTTTCTCCTGTCCACATCTCAGTTCACAGGAATCTTCAAATGTTTTTTTCCATTGCAGAAGAGAGAAAAAAATTTCAAATAAAATATTTAAAACCACAAAACTGCTTCCTTTGGGGTAGGAGGGAGAGGCAAAGAGGAAATCCCGGTCCTCCTAGCCCTACGTTTTGGCTTTGGGTATTTATTTATTTATTCTCTAAAAGCCATTTCACTTGGGGATAACAGAAAATTAAACCTGGGCTTTGTGCAGCTACAAACAAAGCAGGTGTTCTACGCCTTCTGTAGCAGGGAGTGGAAGGACCCAGGGGGCAGACTCTGACTCAAGGCTGGCTTTACCATCGAGGGAGCCACTCTAACAGGTCTGGCAGTTCAAGCTCCAAGAGCTTCCAAGCCTACTGCACCTGCCTTCTGGGGAATCAGAAACCTCTGGCCAAGTGTCTTGCTCCTCCTTCTATTTGGATAATAGAAGAAGCATCGAGCATCATTTATCTGGTGATCCTGCATCATTGCATTTCCTTTCTTGTCCTCTACTCCCCACTTTTCTATGAGGATCAGACACAAAGACTTTAGAAACAGGAATTCAGAACTCTGCTGCAGACTCCCTAAGACGAATCAGTTCCACTTTAAATTCAGTAAAAAAAAAAAAAAACTCAAAAAATTAAGTGTTTTCAAACAATCAACGCAGGATGGCAGGACAAAGTGGTGCCAAATTAGTAGCTCACTGAGCGGTGAAGGGTCTTGCTCTCCAGCCTTCCTTCCTCCCTTCACTCACCTCCATCCACATACATTATCCACTCCTTCCCCATCATCACTATGAACAGCGGTGTACTCATAAAACAAACCACTCAGGCTCACTATTCCTGCTAAAATTACTCACTTTTCCACTGGTTTAGCTTCTTGCCATTTCTGTGAGCTGAACGGGCTTACCCTTCAACTAACTTTTGATTTTGAAGAAATTCTCTATTTATAGAAAACGATGTAGAAAAATGAGCTATACTTACGAATACGGTAGCCTTTAACTGTACAGGCCAGGCTAAATGCCTGAATCAACCAGCAACTATTCTTGATCAGTGATTCAATGTAGCCACATGCCCCTATCTGGAGAGTAAAATAAGTTTCATATAACAAGGGACAGCAGAAACAAAAATAAGAAAAGTCTTGAAACTCTTTACATTACATAAAAATATTGTGATTCCCATTGGCTGTATTATATTTCATTAGTAAAACAGATTAAAAGAATGTGTGTCTTTATCAGTGACACACATCACTTTTAAATAGCAAGAATTTGTTCTTTTGATTATCAGTGAGATAGCAGGTATGCAGCTTTTTGTTTGTGTTTTTGCAGAGAAAGTAATACATCTGGCATGTGATGCAACGTGACAGCTAGGCAACTTTTATAAATCACTGACTTAATCTTGTAAATATACATGGACAAGCTTAACTTAACACACGCGTAGCCCCACTGAATTCCCAAGCATGAAATGAAGCACATATGTAAGCATTTAGAACATTCGCAAATTCAAACCACCCATACATCAATTTTATTTCAGTAGAGTGACTTATATAAATGTAAAAAGAAAAATGCCTGCTCTTTTCAGTCCAGCAGTAAAAATGTTCAAAGGTAGAAAGTGACTGCCAAGAATAAATCTAAATTTATCTTTCATAAACTTTTAAATTACTGGCTTGTCTCAATCACCTATCAGTGCTACTATAAGACTCTGCTCTGAGTAATTGATTGATACAAGAAAACTCTTAATATTTTGCAGAAGTATTTAATAGTCAATTATGACTATATAATTATAAAATATGCGTGATTTCATCTGCAACTTACATGACTTCTAAGGGAAACTGGGATGTAGTTTGTAATTCTTCAGTCAATTTCACTAATTATATCACATATCACATGAAAACTGCATCTGCTATTCGGCTTTAAAATTCTAGTTTTAAGCAAAAGGTTTAATTAAATATGCACTATTTATCCATGATTTATCCATGATTTATCTTTCAGTTCTTACTCATTTCTCAGGCCACTGAGATTTTCTCAGACTTCTAAGGAGAGACTTAACTAGCCCCCGCACTCCACCCCTCAAATTTAGCCCTTTTAAAAGAGCTCATTAGCTTTCACAGAGCTAGACTGAATACACTGGTGCACACTTTCCTATAGCATGTACACATTAGCATTTTCTGGACATGCATTTGCAGTTTCTGAATTAACCCGGAGCCTGCTTTGCACTAGCAGAAGCACTCCTAAAATGAAATCACAAAAGTGCTCAGAGCAGAGGAAAAGCAGCAGTGACTTACCGAGAGAATGTTCTTCATAGTAATCACAAAGACATTGTACGCAATCAGCCAGTCCCAGTAACGCAGAATGCTCCTGATGGGCTTCAATAGCAGGTCTCCACCAAAGAGAAGGAAATAGAAGCAGGCTACCAAGTAGCCCATACAGAATATACTGATCCTTGTGGTTCCGGTTATGAAGATTATAGTAAGCACAACCCAGAAGAGGTAACTAAATATTATCACCTTATACATATCTAAGTAGGACCTGGAAGTAAAAGGAGAAAAAGTTACCAGTTTTTGACTACAAGGCTTTCTTTCCTCCATCAGTGCTAATGGCTGCTCCTCGTACCTACAGCCTGTGTTCTAGTCCCACCTCAGCAGCTGGCCACCTGTTTAAGATTAACACTAAGGTCAGTGGGGCTACCTGGCTCATAAACTCACTTCTAGTTCATTTATGCTTGCTACACCCTGGTCAGAGCACTTTGCAATCTAGCCCCATGTCATAAAATGGGGAAAAATATGTTCTCATCAAACTTCATGCTAGGGTGATATTATCTGGCAACACTACATATGCAAGTTAAAACCTATCTGAGGTCATCTTGTAAGAAGTCTTGGTAATACTGTAGCAAATCTATCTTCAAAAGCAAGCTATAATACTCCATTGCAAACAATGCTGTATTTATTGACGACTTCTAGGGAATTCAGTCTGGTTAAAAGCCCAGCTTTCAAACACAGCTGCTAAAAATATCTTTCTCCAATGGAGATCAACCGTAAAAGTTTTGAGGAGTAAAAGTTTTCTACAGAATGTGAATGTGTTACAATTTACTGAACCACTTGCCAGGATGCTGCAAGACAGAAGCACCTAAAATCTGCCTGGCCTACAATGGGAAATAGCAAGAACGAATTTGGTATTTTCAGATTCTTCAAAATCCTGATTTAATATTCACTCAATGAACTTTCAAATAAGAATTTCTGCCAAAAGAAATACAGAATGCTAGGTATAGCTAAACACTGCAAAACCAACTAAATCTTAGTTTCCCTCAGTTTAGTGTTTTGATTCCAGATGTACTGTGTGTTCAGGGTCTGTTCATATAGGCTGTGAAACTAGATTTGTCAGGAAACCAGGCAGGGAGACAACACTGTAGGAGTATACTTATACCGAAGCCAAACGATACAAGAAGTAAAGTAACTAAATGCACTGTATGAAGCCACATAAAAGGGCCCCTGCTGCTTGATGTTCTCAGGCTCAGAACTTTCTAGGAGTATATATTTATAGTCCTACATTTATAGGCCTGTATTATATATTTTGCTTGCCAAGGCCAACCAGAGAGACTTTTAATGAAAGGTGATGAAAAAGCTCCTTCATGTTTACTTCCCACAGACCATTACAGAAATTCATGGACTACTGCCTGTACAATCTAAAAATTTCATGATTTTAGAGATGCTACGGGTTTTGAGCAATAAGATATTAACCAGTAGTCTAAATATACTAGGCAAATAAAGAAGTGGAAGACATTAGCTGAAAAGATCTTCAATAGCTTAAAATGCACTAGAAACAGTGTTCTCATTGTTTCTGAAAACAAAACAAAACAAGCAAAAACACAAAAACGCCCTACCACAATATTTGGTGTTCCTTTAATAATAATTATTGATGTGTGGGATGGCTAGGAAGAGATCGGCTTTCTGACAGTGTTCTTACAATTGCAATATTTGTCTTGTCTCTGCTGCCAAAACAATGCATCAGCATCTTTTGAGAAAAGCCAAAACCAGAATTGATCTTATCAAATGAACAGGAATATCTTAACACCCTTAAACAGACATGCTTCCAGAAATCAGAGAGAATATGAAAAGGAAGACAATCATTTAGCTACTTTTTCACTATAATGTTAGCCATCTATTACATTCTTTGCAGTTATCTAAACTATTAAATACAACTGTTCTTCTCATTTTCAAAATATGCAGTAAATATAAGAGCACTGGACATCCCTAAACCAAAAAACAGCAAAACAAAGTGAAAAGAAAAGAGATGGCAAGACAACTGTGTCAAGCAACAAATGATGCAGTTGGTTCTTGGAGACATAAATCCTTCTGGTTTAAAAAAAATACAATTACAAGCCCATATATGAAAATGAATCCCAAGGACTTCACTTTGAAGCTGATATCCTACAAACTGGTGTTTGAACCATTAAGGGACGCCTAACCTATGAATATCACTAACCATCTCAGCTACCTCTATGCTGGCCCAAGGACAGCGCCACGCTGAACACGATGGGCAGAACTACACAAGTAGTCTCAGGTACATGAAAATATCCCAGTAAATATACTTCTTGCAGTTGTAATATGCAAATCTCATCTATTTGTCTATTATAGCAGGAAGTTATCTTCCAAGCATCCCCCTAATTTTCATTAGTTATTTAGAATAAAATAGGAAGATGAAATGCTGTAAGAGCATGCACAAAGATACGTCTTAGGGAGTTCTCAGCATACTGCCTCTCCAATCACAAGAGGAGGCAAGTGAGTGGAAACTCCATGAGAAAATGCTGTCAAAAAAACTGAGTTATATATAAGCAATTATCTTGACTTCATATTGGGGTCCAGCTGCAGACAGAGCTGGGTCACAGCATTTGCATTCTGCAGTGACAATGCTAGGTTTCTACTGTCCTTGTAAGATGAGGAATCTCTCTTCTTTCCATTTAATCAGTAGAATAAAAATGGGCAAACTGAAGAATATAATACAAATCATAAAAATGTAAAGAAAATATTCTCAGATGAACATCTTCAAAGACTGGCCAAATTCCATGTAGAAAAACAAAAAGTTAGGATGTGAGAAGTTTCAGTTCCTTGCTCTGGAGCTTACAACGCAGCCGTGGGGGACTGAAACACAAAGCCACCTTAGCAGCTAAGAAGACCCTACCTAAACATGGAGAGTTAGGGTGCGTACCCTCTTTTGGGAATCTTCTTTGGAGACAAAAGGAAATGCTTAGTCTTTGATAGCATGTACTGTAATTGTACGCTTTCACTGTAGCCCACATAGATCCTTAGTATAATGCTATGTAAACCTTCCAAACCTCATCTTCCAAGTGGTCTTTAAATCCACATCCAGTCACAGAGAGGAGAGGCCACCCTCGAGATGTAGTGTATTTCACAATACACAACAAAATGTGAGAGTCAGCTGCTTCCCAAGGGGACAGTCCCACTCCCCTTTGCCCCTCAGCTGTGTGCTCCTGCCCCTTTTTTGGCTCTGGCTCTTTGAACTGGTTTAAAGAAGTAAAGTTGCACAAGCCTATTTATTTTGGGGGAGGACAGAGGGAAGGGAAAATTTTCTGCCCGTTCAGCCTATGAACCACCTTACTGCTGGGTGTGACAAGGGCAATGGCCAGCTAGCAGAAATAATGGGAGCATAGCGGTAGGCAAGGAATACAGACAGACTTCTGAGGAAGTTTACCAAGAGCATCAAACTACAGCTCAGTAACGTTAGTTTGAAAACCAAAGAATGCAAAACATATACAGAAATAACCTGAAAGAAGAATGGAAAAAAAAAAAAACCCAAAAACCACTGATAAGACATCTATGTCATTAGCAGGGCCCAATGATATTCTGGATGACGTTTTAGAAAAATTTACTGTACCACTTTTTTCAAAAACAGGAAGAACAAATTCTCAAGTTCATCCCACCTATCCATCAAAAACTATTGTAACCTCAGATGGCTGTCCGTATCAAATGATCTGCTTTATGTACTAAAGCTTAATGAGTCTTATCATGATAGCTTCAATATTTTATTTCCAGAGGGATTTGTGTGTATTAATTTTTAACTGCAATACAATCAAGCCTGTTGCAAAAAGACTGCTCTAGGTACAGCTGTGTTTCCAGCAGGCTCAGTGATGTGTTTGGCTGTGGGCAGTCTAGTGGCTCAAGTTCTCTGTGTGCTGACACTGAGAAGCCTCGATGCTGCGGTCAATAATCCCTGTCATGGAAGGTGTTTGTCCTCAGTCTGCACTTTGAAATTCAGGGAAAAAACACACTTTCTGTTGACATACTAGCGAGAGATTACTATGCTGTCACACTGACTGACAGCTCAGTGCTTCTTCACACTGGTGGAGCTGTTGTTCTCTCTCTTCATATCCTTCCCTTATCAGCCATCTGTTTTGCTTTGCATGTGGGTCACCACCATTGCATAACCTCAGTGCTCTTCCTGCAGCCCTCTGCCTGATGACTGCCCTCTCCCTCTCCTCCAGGCGTACTAACCCTCTATACTTTTATTCCATTAGCTACCTCTTTACCTCTCTTCCCCCAATTTTTTCATTTTTAACCCTCTTCCCTGTCTACTGATCCTTTGTTTCTTAGCAGCCTCTGTGACTCTGCATCACAGGCAGTTTCCCCTTCTGATCCCAACATTGCTAATTTCTCCCCAAGCCTCCACCCTTGAAACCTTCTCCTGTAGCTCTCATTTTGGCAGGTTTATTGAGTTTCTCTTTGCTGGCAGCTACATCAATGCTTCTGAAAATTAGCTCCTTTACTGTAATGGACTTCTCCAAATATTTTGTAGTACATCCTGCAGGACTTAGTCCCTACTATTTTTGTCAAGCCCTCTCACAGAACTGATGTTTTCTTCTACTCATTATTTTACCAGCAGTCCTTCTCTCTTGCTTCTAGTTGCTTTAAAAAAAAAAAACCATATCCAAAGACGTGTTACTTGCTAAGGACCCTTTTTACTAGCAACAAAATGTTTACCTGCTTTATACAAATACGTCATGAAGCCTGTAATGACGGTTTGTAGATCATCCCTCATTAACCTAAACTGGAATAAATGTAGTTCCAAGAAAGGCATTAGAGCTGCTTTTGAGAGACATCTTCTGACTTGCCTGATGATGGTTTCCAGGGTGTCGATATGAAAATAGTTCAGTGATTCACTGCTATTTCTGCTCTTAGGAAGTAATTAATTAGGATCCCAAATTATTTCCCTATCAAAGTCTAGGAGAACGTCTGAAAGTTGCTTGGGAACTGAAATGAGAATTTTTCAACATTCGAAACTGTGGGAAAGAATTATCCTCAGGGACGTCACTTTAAATCCTGTATACTATGCTATACTTTACTATACTATACCTTAAATTCTGTATACTACAATCCTATATACTATAATATAATCCTGTATTCAAAATCCTACTTCTATTCTTAAGCTTTATTTTTGTTGTGACCTTGGGGTCGAGCACATCCGCCCTGAAAAATCCTGAGGGTGGAAAGACCAGATAATTTCAGCAGATCTCTTCCTTAGACTGCATTTATCATTGTTGATTTCACATATTTCTGCAGAAGGAGGAAAATTAAGCATTTGGAGACATGTTCTTTTTCTGCCACTGTTCATATTGTAATAAAAAGCTTTTTAGCCTACTGGAACAGTGACTGCACAGTATCTTATCAAGGGAGTAGACACATCAGAAGGGTGTTTGAGTCCACAGCTGCCACTTGTTTTATATGGCATTGAATACACATTGGGCTTCTCAGAAAACACATGAACACTAAGCAATAATTACTCTGATACTTTGTAATTTACTCATAACCAAGTTGTCTTCATTTATTTGTTTGGTTCTTTCTGACTGACTTTCGGATAAATGCCATTTTTTTCATTTCACCTGCTTGGCTAAGCCTTGAACCAGGTTGCTGTCCATGTGAAGAAATATTTAGACCGTTCCACAGCTTTTGATGCAACATGCAAGAAACATCTATAGACAAAGGCCTTTCAATTCCAAATTGTCTCAAATGGCTGTCAGATACATATATTTTCTTCTGAGATACACCTTCTGTGGATTCTCCAGAGCTTGAGAGTCCTTCTCTTTAAAGATTCATAATCCTCAATAAAAGATTGGAAGTGACCTTAAGAGACTATCCAGCCACTCTCTGGTGCTTCTTTGAAGCAAAAGAGGCATTTAAGATTTCATGTGGGCAGTGCAGTATCTCAAAAATAACACTGTTCAAAGCCTGGGAAAATCTGCATTGAAGGGGCTTGAAGAAAGATCCCATCAAGAAGACAAGATCTGCTAAGCATTTCACATTAAAGACAGGTGTGTTTATACCTATCTGCACGCTATGCAAGAACGTGCTCATTACAATTCCAGGAAGCTGACACTTCAAACAAAGGAAAGAGTTAAAGATTACTTACCCCAGCATCTATAAGAAAAGACACTATGAACAGGAATTTCTTCTGTTCCTGAAATTAATGAGATTTCTATTCATTTGATAGAATTCTCAAACCCTGCTCTCTATCCCTGCTCTGTTTCCTTCTCGGCCTTGTTCTTTTCATTCCCCTTCTCATTTACACAGTATAAAGGTATCACTTGAAACAGTCACACAGATTTCTGTATTTGGCTGTAACAAGTATAAAACTATCACAGCTTATTTGTTCAGTTCATCATTACTAATGGAACTGATTTTCTGGGTTTTTTTATCCTCCACCAACAATATTGCTAATGCCTAAACACAAGCTGTAAACTCTCAGTCAAATGGCTGCATATTGTTAATCATCTATACGCTGGTCTATTTTCTCATGCATGCCAAGTACTGTGTTTGAATGCATATGAAGCCACCAATGACTTCAAGCTGATGCATACCATGCATATGAATCAAAAGACAGAACTTAACCCAAAGAATCGTGGAGAGGCAGCAGGCCAGTTTAGCTTGGACTTCGCTTTCCATTACAAACCTGACTCTGATTCCCGTCCAAAATCTTCAAAGAACCTCCTTTGTGCTGCAGACTTTTCGAGTTGGGTCATTTGGGTATATCTTCTACAGATGACTAAAAATACCTATCGGATTCCAGGGAACTTTGAAAAAGATGCTGAAAGAGATCACTTAGAAAGTAGTGATTTTCTTGCTTCTTTTTCCCTTCTGAAGATAGCCATCAAATATAGCCTCAGCCCTAATGAGTTTTTTCACAATGATATTTTTCTGGACTAAGGTGGGAAAATAAGATCTCTTCTTTCCGCCAGCAACCACATCACCAGTGAGCAAGCATTTCAGAGTGCCTGGTGCAACTGCTGTATTAGTTTCTTGCTAACATGGATACCACAGCAGTGGCAACAAGAAGAACTCAGTCAATCCCCCTACTTACTCCTCTCAGCTAAGCCCTATTTGGCAGATGTCTCTTGAAAGGCATCCCCACTTGATGGAGGTTATGCCTTCTCTCTTTCTTTTAGATTAGCGGATCTGGGGCACTGGGACCACTGTGCAGAGGGGAATATTGCACCCTGCAACCAGAATGGACTATAAATCTCTGGGCAAGGGAGTCAATTGAACACGTTTCAATGGTCTCCTCTTCAAAGCTATTGCAAGATACACTTGGACACCATTTCTAACAGAAACAGAAGGATCAGCAAAAGATCTTAAGAAGGGATTTTGGTGACAACACTTCTCTAGTAAAAAAAAAAAAAAAAGTTTTTCAGCAAAATTTGAAAAAAAAAGAAGATTTTGCTGGCCATTTGGTTATTCTTTCACACTCAGACTTCTATTGGTAACATGCATTAGCTTTCAAGACAAACATCTAGCTTAGCAAAACACAGTAGCTAATGAACCTTCCTCTTCCTAGTAACCCTCGTAACACTGCAGCAAATCTTTGCAGAGACCTTATACTAAGACTATACCCAGAACTCAGAAAGGCTAAGCTACTCTGTCCCTGCTGAAATATGATCACATAGAAACGGGTTCTTTGTTCAAAGACCAGCTGGAGCAGACTGTTCCAGGCTCTGCCCTCCTTTTTTGTTACTGAACCTCTTAAACAACCTTGTGTGTAATGTTGAGACAACCAGTTGCCCTTTCAAGACACTTTTAAGTTTCTTAGCCCTAGATGGAATAGCAGAAAGTACATTCTCATAGAGTATTATTTTGATTTTAGTTAGAAAACGACCCAGCATGACATGACTGACGACTGTTATGGGATTAAACATCTAGATGAGCATGTTCATGTACATGTAAACATGTACAGTGTGTTATTCACACACGTGTATTCTTGAGGAAGCCAAGGGAGTGATGAAGTCCACCACAGAAGCTGCCCCACAAGACAGGGGCAAATTCATGGAGGGAATTTGCACTTTCAGGCAAATTTCTCACTGAACATCCCTTTGGGGATGGCACCATGGCAGCACTTAGAACAGCCAGCAGTGTTAGAAACGCTCTCTAGATTGTTTCCATCTGGCCTTTTCTAAGGCAGAAGCTAATTACCCAGAAACTATCTTCTGTCTCATACAGTAGCAAAAAGTATGTTATGAGATAGGAACAGATACAAATAACAGCAGTAAAACTGGAAGCTGTGAGAGTTACTTCACACTAGAGAACTTTTCCGAGTGTTTAAGATTCAGCATTACCGGCAGTGAATGAAGTCAGGAACAGGATTATGCTGGCTAAACGATGATGCCTCGAGATTCATGCAAATTTCCACGTTGTCTCCAGCCATGATTCGTACTGCAGCTTTATTTTCATCCTCAAATGTTTGCCTTTGCAAGGATGCACAGAGCAGCAACATGAAATCATCTAGGAGGATGAAGTAGTTGAATGAAAAATTCAGCCATTAACTGAAGTGTAGAGAGTGGTGGTGACAGGCTATAATGTAGTTACCTGGGTGTTTCCCATACTTTGAATCTATAAGACTGTGCTATTTTCAATGCATTTGACATCAGTTTGACATTTATTATCGCATTTAGATTTTTACCAGTCCTATTCTTTTATGTTTTTTTATTGTGAAAGAAATTGGAAAAGGGAAAAGAATTCATATTTTCTGATCCTACTTCATTAAAAATGGGATATCGAATTTGAAATAGATGGAGAACTTACTAATTCTTTGCTATTTTTTATTACACACACGACCACATTTAGTATTCAATGTCCCACAGAATATGTTAGCTTGCTCCTCAAGAGTAAATAAAAGGCTGGCTTCAAGCTACACAGTACAGATGTATTAAGCAAAAGACATGTAAACACTTCACAACTATGTGCTAAAATACTTACAGACAAGGAAGACAGGATTTGGTTTCACAATGAAGTCTGGAAAGTATAACCACTTTATGATGTTGGAGTTGAAGCTGGCATTACCGCTTCTCCATGGATAGTCTACATGAGAGAAGCACGCAAAAATGCAATCAGTAGTTTATAACAATTACTTCATCCTTCTCTTCTGAATACTTATCAATTTTCCAGCACTTTTCTGTAAAAGCAAGCAGCAATAATTATCCATAAAAGGAAAGTGTCCTTACCTTTACAAGGAGCAGGTGGAATGCCAATACAAAGGAAGTACTGGAACGTAATGATGCATGCCAGAAAACAGCAATACTTTGGCCAGATCTCTGCAATAGCTTTTCTTCTACGTCGATACAATACAGCAATCAACCAGAAGGCATGAATCATGGCATAGAAATCCATTCGTTGACCAATTACATTAACCGACAGAAGAAAACAGGTCTGGAGAAGAGGTAAAGAAAAATAAGCAATAGTCAATATACTATTGCTATTGATCAGTCAGTATCGATAAAATACTATTCTGGATAATGACAGAACTCTTGCACACATGCTGGGGCTGAATGCAAACCAGCTCCTTGCAAATTAACCCACTAAAGCAGTTTGTATTGCTCCATTAGCAAACTCTCTGACCCCACCCCAACCCCCCAAATTTTAGATGCTTTTCTAATAGTGTTGACTGTCCGAATATAGCAGTAAAGCAAGTTTCCATTATGTGATATCTAAAGATACAAAATGGAGAGAGCATTGTTACAGTAGCCTATATGTGAAATGTTTAATTGTTGCCAAGCAAAGCACATATTACACTGCCATATATTTTGATAGCCCTTACAGATGTGAAAAAGAAAAGGAACCACTAAGAATAACAACTAAAGCGTATCCTCATGTGGGAACCAGATGAAAAGGAAAAGGATTTAGACAATGTAACTTCTATTGGCTATAGACAAACCGAGCCAATTGCTGTAAGGCAGCTTTAGTTGTCTACTCTTCTTAAAGCTCTTTATCCCAGAGCATTTCTCTTCTACGGTTCCACTTAAAGTAGTCCCTTCACTCAGTGCCACGAAGCATGTTTTCGAACTTCGTGAATAATTCAGAGCGAATAACTTATCCAATGGACTGCACTGTTTTACTCTTCTCTCTCCTCAAACAGATTAGGATGAGGTTAAATTTATTTCCTGCAGGAAATAACCCGCTGATTACTTTTAATTTTGACGCATTCCTAATCCTCAGATTGGCTGTGAGCAGTTTACTGTTTATCAGTAGCAAGGGCTGGTGGTATTTAATTCTGACTGCACAAATAGGTAAAGAACATCATTATGATTAGATTTGTGGTGTGTTAGCCTAGGAGTTCAACACTTGCTTTCTGAAGAGAGCTTTTGAAATTTGTGAAAAATCCCTGTTTCTACATTTTTGTAAGTACACTTCATGTGTCCGTGAACAGAGGAGGTGAGAACATAGATGAAGTTTGGGTTTTTTTTTTTGAGGCACTCATTCAGCAAGAGCAGCACACATTATTTGAGCCTAAATCCCTTCTACTTTTCATTAGGGCCACTGCTGCTGAAACAGCACACAAGCAGACCTTCTACTTAATAACACACCGACTAGAAATATAAGATATGTCACAGATCTTCAGAAAAATCCCTTCACTTGTTTGTATTTGCCTCTCTCCTCATTCTCTGTGTGTTGCTTGTCTACTGAAAAGTTCTTTGGAGAAGCACTAGCGGCACAAAGCAGCAGTAATCTCCCCTGGAGCTCTTGCTCCTGCAGATTGTTAGCAGTTATAGTAACAAGCATAAAAGGAAGGATGCCCTTGTGCAGCCAGAGGCAAAAGCAGTTTAGAAATGCCGAAAAAGAGACAACGGTCTGCTGGCCTCAGCTTCCGTCTTCTGCTCCTGTAGTACTTGGTTCACTTTGTGTGCGTGTCTGGGTGTGTGTGTATCTGTGTGCACATGGACACACGTGGGAGGGCATTCCTCAATTCTGTCCTTTGACTCACCTGTTACCATTTCTGTTGAGCTAAAAACTAGCTGGTCTGGCCAATGGAAAACGGTAGTAAAAGAAAACAAGTAAAAGCATGAAAAGAAAACCAAGAGGAAAACCACTACTAGCAGAGAGATGGTAACTGTGGCAAGGTCTGACGTGGGTGTTGACTATGAAGCATCCAGCTGCCAAACACAACTCAAGCTAGTTTCCAGAGACAACACAACCAAAAGTTTTGGAATGATAGTCTAAATAAAATTAGTATATTATCATTTACCTCCAAACCAAACTTGTAGAAGAAGTAGTTTATGAAATACTTGACACAGTTTACCAGTCCATCATCCAGATGTGCTCTTGTAATATCATGGAAAATGGTTTTAGTCACAGGTGCAGTAAGATTATTTCGACATCTGTAGTACTCTTGATGACGGTAAATTGTAACTTCAAAGGCCAGTATAGCCAGCATCAGTAGATTATTCTATGAGAAGATACAACCAGAAGAATACTAATAAAAAATCAAAACCACAAGAAGCTATAAAACTTTCTGATAACCTTCAAACAATGAATACTCAAATGAATGTTATCACTGAAAGCTTCTGTACTCCAAGATGAACTGGGACTTACTTACATCTACTAGCATTGAAACAAAGTGAGGTTCCTACCACTTGTGAGATTTTGATGAAATGTACTGGCATTCAGAAGATATGTTTAAAGACATTCATTAAAAAAATACTACAAAGAAAACAAGCCGTGGAAAGGAAAGGAAGTGAAAATTCATTAATACAACCATGTGCCCTCTCTTAAGTTTCATGGCTTCTCTGAAGATGCAATGCTTTGCTTTGCAGGGATGCCAGGGTACAAACATCCACAAAGTCTCAAGCAAGGGCTCAGCTGGCAAGCACTAACTCCCTAAAACTGCAGGCACCTTTGATAGTGCAAGTATATCCTGGATATCCTTTTAAATTAATAATGATTAGTTTAACTGTCAGGCAGAGCTCTTTCTGTCCCAACACCAGGTTGCCTAGTATGCAGTCTTGAACCCCTCTGGGATGAGCTTCTTCTCTAGGGAGACCCATCCTGTGCTCCATGGAAGAGAGGTGTTAACCAACTCCAAAAGCTGGTTAGAAAGACCAGCCCAGAGAATTTTCCTCAAGGAAGCCACAGCTGAAATTGATGCACCAACTGTAGCTCTCTCTTCACTGAGAAGCACCCGGGACAAGAAAGTCCTGAGACAAGTGTTTCTGATTATTTTGACAAGTTATTTTTGTTTGTTGCCCCTGGGCTTCCAAGTCATGCTGGGGAGGGATTTACACAATCCATCATAGATATCTTACTCACTTCAACAGTGCAGACATTTTGAATGCCTGTCATTACGGAGACATAACAGAAAATTGAAGCTTGGGGACTTCAGGTCTAGTATAGGACTAAATTCCTCTAGACAGAGGGGACATTTTCTTTGCTCCTAAGTCAATGAAAAGCAATCTAGAATAACTTCTAATGCCAAAATATTATCTGTTTATAACTGCAAAGCTGCTAGCATTAAGCCACACACCACTAGGCAACTTCACCCTCCATGCAGAATTCGTGTCAGCAACTGTTCTTCCCCATGTATATTCTTAACTGTGGGAGGCACATGGCACAACTAGGGCTTAATAAAGTATTTTGACTGCCAGAGCTTGGCAGGTCTGCCCTCCACAAACAAAGTATACAGAGGCAAATTGTCAGGGAAGAAATGAGGAATAAAACTGCAGTCAGATCAAAACTCGCTGTTGCTCAATCAACAACTTTCTGACTACCTTAAATAACGAATACAGGACTCCAGAGATTCTTTAAAGCAAGAGGAGTCATGCAAGATTTCCTTTCGGAGCTGACATACTTTTATTTTGAAAAGGATTTTTTAATTAAGATAGGAATAAAAAAATATTGCTCATGAGCATTAAGCAAAAACACAAAGAAAAACAAAAACCATCACTTTACTAGTGTCTGAATGAATTATTTCCATACCTCACTACATTTTCTAAATTGTGGCTAAAAAATAAGCACTTACAAAAGTTAACTGCTTATAGCAGATACTATCATTCAAGGCAATTATTCCAATTAGACCCTTCAGTCCTTTGGTATCTGAAAGCTCTGTGCCTCTTTACTACTTACAGCTCTTAAATATCACATTCTTAGAGTAGTTTTAACAGACGTACAGTCAGAAAGTCATAGTTCTACGTGCAGTTTATCTCAATTGATACATGGGGCCTCCTGAAACATGGCTGGAAATGTCCTACATAACCGGTACAGCTTTCTGCTCTCTCTTCCCCTCCATACTTCCTATTATCAATGGCTTGCATCAATTTTTTTGTATGGCTGATGATAAATTAGCATTGCTAATTTCATCACAAGTAAGAAAATATCTCAATACGGATAATTAAAGAAGTTACTTACCCTTAAGTACACAAGCAGGGGATAAGATTTCCTCAGTCCAACCCACTCGGCAGGATCAACTGGCCCACTGTAGAGAACTGAAGTTTTCAGTTCTTCTAAATTCACTGCAGTTTCATTCTCTCCAGGCTAAAAAGAAAATGCAATAGTTTATAAAAAAAAATCTCTTTGAGGCTGCTTGGGGTGGGAATGATAATCAACAAAAATACATCAGGTGTGCTGTAGTTTTCAATACTTGATATGATTTCTTTTGTTCTTCTTCACTGAAGAAGGCAGCAGTCAAACCTTTTCAGTATGCGCTTGTACTCACCAATGTACAGTTACTGGAAAAAGTGCTGGGATCAATAGACGTGAGCTGGTACAACATTTTGCAGACAATAATCACACATGTCCAAACAGTGCAGATACTGGATGCCAGTGGGCGAAACTGAGCATATGGCAAAGCAAGAGCCCAGGCAATTAAAAACACAAAGTTAAACAGAGACACCTGAAAACACAAAAACAGGATGGAGACAAATTACATGGAGTAGCAAGAGGACTGAGAAAGTCTGACCTCTTCCTTAATCATTCAAAATAAATCACTCAAAAAAAAGGGACATAGAGGAACTGTAAGAAAAATGCTGAAAAAAACATTTACAACAATACTCACAATAATACAGACACAAAGTGGTCAGTGAAGTAGGGAAAACTTAATAGTCAGTCTAGGAAGAACATTATCTCCTAAATAATATTCATCCTATTAGATCCACAAAACTACATACCCACCCTACAAATAATAGACATGTGAAATGTAAGGGATCACAAGCTGTTCCTCCTGTTTTAGTATACAAGAAACAAGGAAGGGATGGCATGGACTCCTGTGTCTAAGGAACTTGCCTTCATCCTTTTGACCTTTTTTTCCCCCAAAGATAAGACAAAAAAGACTTTTATTTTGCTATTTAGTGAATCTGGTTCTATTCAGTTCAAGAAATGGCCTTGCTGGGAGGAAAATTTACCCTGGCTGCACAAAGGCACAGCTAGATGTTTCTCTATTTTTCTTAAGATGTATTTCCATGTTTCTGCTTCTTTAGCATCAGATCCAATTAAAGTAATTCTCCCAGATGATCCTTCCCAACCTTCTTCTACACCCTTCATCCCTGGTGATGCCCACACACTGCTTGTGTATCTATTCTAAAGGAGATCAGTGAAATAATCAGATGGAAAAAAACCTAGAACAGAACACTTTTCCTTTGGGAACACTTTTCCTTTGCTGGTGGAGAAATTTTTCCTTCTTCCAGAAGTTTGACCGCTTGTTAATTGCTAAATCTGGACATTTCACTGACCTGATTCAGAACCCAGCCATACAAATATCTGACCCTGCATGGCTGAAGGAGGCAGGAAAGAGTGAGATAACAACTACATGGACATGGAGTGCAAAAAGGAGAACAACTCAAACAGATTTAGTGACATGAAACGTCACTGTGCTGTGAAATGGCTGCTGGCTGGGGGGGGAGGGAGGGAAGGGGTTACATCTCTGAGTTCAAAGAATTAATCTAACAAAAGCTTAATATCTGGGTACAGAGGGAGGGCTGAGAATATCTGGGGAGGAAGAATATCACTGTAGGAGGAAGGGCCAGCGCAGGTCCCCAGCTGCTGTCAAGCCCTGCTGGATCTCACAACTTCAATAACGTCTGATATAAAAAAAGCAGGTCTCTCCCTACGCTTGGGACCACTGATGCAGACAAGCCTCCGCCACAGGCAAGATTTTGACAGTGGGTGTTTACTTGCCTCTTTCACCGTGACCCAGATGATGTAAGAGGAAACAATCTTGATGATGTGCAGCTCCAAAAGCCACCACACAAAGACTTGCATCTTATGAAAATACTCGAGGAATTTCAAAAACAGCACTGTAAGGCGGTCGATCACCAGATGCCACTTGTTCCTTAAGTCTGCAGAGATAGCCAAGTATTGGGAGGAGAAAAACAGAAGGTGTCTGTAAAAAGGAATGCTTCAACAGGTAACAATAAGCTTCCCCCTTCTGCTTTTAGCCTTAAAATAAGGCATGAAGGAGGTTAAAGCCATGGTTCTGTGGTTAACTAAGACAAAACGGGGTTGAGACTCAGTCAGAAGTGGGGGGGTCTCCTTTCTGTCCCACATCTAGCAAAAAGCTTCCCCATTTCAGGAGTGCTGGTGGCAGCTTGCCTTGCCAATTCTGCTTTTATTCCTCTCTAAGAGAGGCCTTTTTGAGCTCTATTTTCCTCCAGTGCCTTTGGATCCGGGCTCAGGACTAGACCACAGACTCTCCAGCCCACAGTTTGACATTTGGAAGATATGGACCCAGCCTATTTTCAAAAAGCACAAATTACTGCACTGACAGCTTTTCAGCCAGTTTGGAGGAGATCCATGCACACTACAAGTTGGATTCTTATTGCATTGCTTTAGATGGCTATACTATAGATGTCTAAATTTGTCAGCATTATCTATATTGCCTTATACCTAAATTTGTCATCATCATCTATATTGCCTTGCAAACAAAGTACACCCCTAGGGTGCAATTTATGCCATCCCAGGATAGACATCTAAAATAGTTAACACCAATTGCAGTCCAGAAAAGCCTATTTCTCTCAGTTGGAAAGGGAGCTCTATCAAGTTACGATCACTAATTTGGTGACTGAAGCTGGGTGAATGTATCCTTTTACAGATGATATTTTGCAATAAAAGCCATCCTCACAAAAAATTACCTACAGTGCAAGAATGTGGCAACAGAAATGTCTGTTACATATGAATATACAGGATCATATATATGTCGAACAGTGCTAAGTGCAGTCTCAGCTTGTGGGCTGGCTAGAAAGTCTTGTACATATTTGCACAAAGTCTTCGTACTGTATTAGATGTTTAAAAGCATTTTGGAGACTAGGAAGGATTTTATACGCTGTGAGAACATTCTCATAGTTAATATGGAACATCAGAAATGGAAACATTTAAAAATAACACCAAAACACATCACTGTCTAATCCACTAAAAATGTAAAGGGGTGACACCATCTTCGATATGCAGTTACTTCAACTTATCTGGTCATTTTGTAGAAAAAGCAAATCCACAAATTTATTATTCTGTGAAATAAAAAAGTGAAAGAGTGCCCATTTGTGTGAAAAAGCCGACTTTTGATTCAAAGTCCAATCAAGCCGACAATCAAATTCCAAACTATGAATTTTTTTCTTCTGTCCTTTTTCTCTAAGCACAACTTAGAAAATCATAATAAAAATACTAAGTGGCATAAATTCCATGAGCTTAACAAATTAATTAAGCAATAGAACTCCATACCTACATGAGTGCTTTTATAAGTGTAACGGGTATATTTTAGGGGAGTATTCATAGAATTAGATGTTCTCCCTCACTGTATCACAGTATTTGTTTAAATTAGCATTGTGCAAGGTACATTCAGCCAGTGCCAATTAAGTGAGACAGAGCAAGTAAACATTGTAGATGGGTCCGTCTACACGTCTTAGGATAACATAGAGAAAAAAGCCCTATAATCACAGGGGATAAATTACAGGCCTGTGTGCATCCCCTGAAAAATTGCTCATGCAAACATGTTAAAGTAACATTAGCAACTCCAGCTTTCTTTGCCATTTAACGATAATGTAACCCTTTAGTATAAATGCATGCATATACAGCCTAAAGAGGGATCACACATTTACAAGCAGCATCTCTTGCTGTTGCCAAGTCCCATTTGCGGCAGTGCAGAGAAAAGGCCCCGGGGAGGAGGCTGCAGCTCCCCACTTCCCTGTGTGGGTATCTCACTGTACAGGGCCACCTTCAAAAGATGGCCTTGACCCCCAAACCCATCTGGCATGTAGGGATGGCCAGAGTGCAACAAACTCTCCTCAGAGACTGCAAGATAGCTGGCCAAGAAAGATTTCCATGCACCATGGATGCCTCTTTGAGGGGCATTCCCAGCCAGGAAAGAGGAATAGGCTCAGCTCAGCTCCCCAGGGGCAGCTAAGCTGGATGCCCTGTCCTTTTGCCTTGACAATGACCCTGTCCCTACTTCTGCATCGCAGTCCTATGTACGTTGGCATGAGATGCCAAGTCCATGGTAAGGCTACTTCCAGACAGTCTGGTTTCCTTGGGTGTTAAATGCTCCTCTCTGTTTTTCATTCATGGCTCATGTTCCTAACTGAATTATGGAAATAATTCATGTTAGGAGTTCATGCTAGGAATATCAAAGATGACAATATCAGCCTCATCCACGTCTGCCCTTAGGCATTTTTATGTTCATCTGGCATCAATTATACATTCAGAAGTGAAAAATATGTCACTAATATGCACATGAATAATGAAGCAAAGCCATTTGAAACTTCTAGAGCAAAGTGCCCTGAAAGCATACAACGGCAGAGATTAAAAATGTACATGTGTTTTCTTTATTTGAAGAGATTTCACTCTGAAGGAGTTCCTAGGATTTGGGGTAATCTCCTACTAATCCACCCTCAACCACCTGGAAGACATCCCTCCCGAAGAAAGAGGGTTTTATTTTGTTTTGTTTTCACTCTCTGAGCACCTTACAGATAACAGTACGATTTCTCCCTAGAAGAGACTGCAGACTGTTGAATAATTTACAAGTAGCCATCTGCTCAATTCAGGCTGCTTTGGCAAAGACATTCAAAATTAGAAGGAAAAAGTGGGAAACGAAGTGAGCTGGGATGATTAAGAATGAACCACCTCTTGCCACGGTTAAACGAGGATGAGGAAGGCAAAACTAGCAATCTTCACAGCTTACCTGTAGTTTCTTCCTCCTCTGATTCATTGTCTTCATCATCTTCTTCCTTCTCCTTGTCTTCTTCATTTTCTTCTTTTCCTTTTTCATCCTTCGCTTTCCCTCCCTCCCCATCTGGCTCTTCCATTCTTTTATCACCAGCCTCTTCTAGCATTTTATCCTCTTCCTTTTCATGGCTGGCTGTTAAATTCATCATAGTTATATCAGGCAGGCTTCCATCTTGGTGTACCAGTCTGTTGGTAAATAGTAGCATGTCAGCAAGCTGAGCAGCAATGACATGATAGGTTTTTTTTCTTTTTCAAGATGTATAATTAGAAAAAATAAAACAAACTTGTTCATGGAAAATGCCTTAGAAGTGGAAAAGTTAACGATTCTGGTACTTTCTGCAAACACACACTGCAAGTTGAGTTGGAACGTATTAGTAACTACTTCTCACTCAGATACTAATGGCTAGTTAGTAATGAGTGGTATTGACACTTAAACTTGACATTTTCCCCATTGGAGAAAATGGTCAGAGTTTAAGATGTAGAAGCATGAAATGACACTGTTTAAGAGCAAACATTTCATGACTTCACAGGGGACTTACTCATTTTGGTGGTTTGGTATTTTTTTCTTGAGGCTGCTCAAAGTAATTGGAACAGAAAGAAAAAGGGAGATGAGAACAGAGGGGTTACAGAAGAAGGTCATCGACAAATATGTCATGCTACATCACAAGTAATAAAGCATTCTCCTGCTCCATCTGCAGAAGCCTTCCGATGCCAAGAGCATGCCATCATGACATTCGCAGGACACTTCTATGAAGGGCCATGGAACTGCAGCACAGATGGAAAGGTGGCGATCTGTTTACACCAGTGTTAAACAGGGTCAGTACTGCCCCATGCTGTCAGTAAAAGGCAACTCAATCATTACAAGTATCTGATGGATTATGGTAAATATATTTTCATCTTCTTCCAGCTGAAAGATGTAACCGGGAAGCCAAGGAATTTGCAAGTATTCTTCCAGCTATAAGTTTGTGAAAAAACGAAAGAAAAAAATTCCATAGCTGGGGATTCAGTATACTGTATAACATCTGTCTTTGCTAGTGCCATTCATTCTCTCTCTTTTCACACCTCAGAGATTTTTCCTTAAATTTAGAACTGGCCCTTACTAAATGTATTAGCACTTTTCAGACTACCAAAATTTGAGATAAAATGGTTTCAACACAGAAATGGTAATACTCTACTGTCACGGCTGCAATTCTTTTGAGGATTTTCCAGTATTAATTCTGTCTTTACTGAGAAAAGAGATTTTATCTCTCTCATTATCTAATACACAAATGGTTTCCGATTAATATAAAAGTTATCAATTTACACATGTATTTTTTCTCAGCTACGTTGCTTTTCAGACCTATTAACTGATATTTATGAAGAGACTGTTCTTGATTGGTAGCTTAATTCCAAAGAACACTGACTTGATGGACACAGAGCCTGCATCCTGGATGTGAATTGTGTTGCTCTTCCCATACTGATTCAAGCTCTCAGATGCGGTGGGACACGATCACGTCCTGTGTTTGCAGAAAACCTGCCTTTCCTAAATGTCCGATCCTATGCACTCTGCTGAGCACTGTGCTTATTGCCATAGTTTCTTTGAATAGGACTTCCTACAATAAAATCTCTCCTTTGCAACCCCTTATCTGTATGATCAGATCACTAAATGTTTAGTTACGCTATCAAAATTACTAAATGCACCATGTTTTCAAGCATCTATTAGACTATTTCTGGACTAATGCTAACTTTAATATGCTGCTGTACTATCTCAGGGCTTTGTTTTTCATGATGTGAAATTCTGGCATATCACCATTTAGGCATGAAATTCTGCAAATTTTAACTAGGATTTTTACAGTTCAAGAAACTACAAATCTGTATTTAGCCATCTGATCATTAAAAAATGAGCACCATAGTTTAAGCAGTTAATGACAAAGTCAAACAAGCGGAAGCACTTTTCCAAAATTTGAGAGTCGCACTTTCTTCATTGTGGAAATTTCTAGTGCCTCAAAATGAAGGAAAAGCTACAGAAATTTGACTAAACACTCCTGAAGTAGTAATATCATAGCAATTGTTAAAAGAGCAGAAAAGATGTCTTAAAAATAGAATGTTAATAAACCCAAAATAATCTCCCTGAATAAACACGCCCATGACAATGTTTACCAAAATCCCTGATCATGGATTGGACTAGGAACCTAAATGTCCAATTATCTCAAATCTTGTATTCTCAACTATATTATATTTGCCTTGTCCACTAAAATTAAGGCTTTATGTCCAATATAATTATTTTTTCAGAGATAAGCAAGCAAATACACTATAAGAATATTCACATTTTAGTAAAAAGACTAAACAATAGTAATCACTAAAACTCCTAAACTTTGCGTATCTGTGCAGAACTCTAAAAATGTACCAATAGCAGACTCACGTATAAAGAAGAGAGAATGAATTTTCAGTTCAGTTCAGATCTTACAGAGACAGATCCCCAACTAATATAAATCATCAGAGCGCATTGCAAAGGCAATAGCCCATGAAACAAGAGCATCCATGCACAGGCGTAATTCTATTGATTTTAATGAGATACCTTTCCAAGTGACTTTTATGATGGGAAAATCTTCATTCACACTGGTGTAAATCAAGGACATATTGACATAGCTCAGCATAAACTGGACAGAAACACAGTGATTCTGCAGGATTTTATATGGGAAGACTGATCTTTATCGTATTCATATAACTCTCATTCAGATCCAGGAGGCAATGGGGTTATAAATGAAGGCACATGCAATATATACCAGATAAAGCCTCAATATGACCTTATGACCTTAGTTTTCAGTTTGTCATTGCTTACTTCTATTGATATAGTAAGTTTAATCACAAGACTTTGTGCTCAGGAGATCCAAGGCGACATTAAAAGCTCTGCCCATTTTATTAAAAGTTAGTCTACGTAGAATCTTTCTCCCCAAGCTTCCACATTTATTCCTAAGGTTGTTTTTCCTTTCTTTTCTCAATTATAAGATTGCATGATTTCATGCAACAGACAACAGAGCTGTCAGAATATAAAAACTGCACTGAAAATTTAGTACATCTAAGACAAGTTACCTGTATAGGCTTCACAGTTGGTCAGATGTAACTTAAAGTCAGAAAGCACATACCGGCGGGAAAGTTATCAGAGACTTTCGGGTTCTCTCTGATACTTAGGAAGAGGAATAACTACATATCTGATTAAAATGCTGACAGCAAGCCTTGACGGCATAGCAGCTAATGGTTTTAAGTGAGATCGTTACTTGTCCTCAAAATAATTAAATAGGGTATCAACAAAGAAAAGTATTCTAGTATATCCAGCTGCAGGCATCAAAGCAATTTCAGTGGCACTAAAAGCAGATATGTGCCCCAGGTCTTTGCTGGAGCACTACTACTTTCATTTATCTGCAATTTGCTAGAGCAGAAGATTAATTAATAACAACTTCTTGGCACCATTATGAAGCATCTTTCATCACTGGTAATTTTTTTGCAATCGGCTGATGTATATCTTGAAACTTATTGCCTCTAAATTATTTCTCAGGTATCTGTCACTCAAAGCTTCTTGCTCTGTAGGACGCTACTGACCCATCTGTCCCAAGTACCCAGCATGCAAGACGTAAGCCGAGCACGTACCACTGTGCAGTTATTGGCAGAGCCCTGAGCTACGTCGCAGCCATGTCTGCGCCCAGTCCGATCCGCCTCGACCCTAAGCGTGACCTGCGGGCTGACTCCCTGCCTTCATCTAGGACCTTCCTCATCACCGCGGACCTGCTGGGAGCATATTGGGCTGCGGCTGGCCCCTGTTCCTGCCTCCAGACCCAATCCTGACCCTCACAGGCCGGCTCACATTCCCGATTCCTGGTGGGTGAGGGCCCTCCCTGGCCATGCCCCTCAGCTCCTGCCCGCCCTTCCCTCCCAGGGACACCTACCTCCCCACTGTCAGGCACTTCTTCCTATAGACCAGGTTTCCAGCTCTGGTGAATTTTTATGAACTGGCCTAGAGTATATGATGATATTTTAAAAAGTAACACAAATGCTTGACATATACGTTAATCCCTTGTTAAAGCAGGTATTCACAAATTTCCAATTGAGGGATTTTCTCAGGATTTCTGTTTATATTTAGGAGCAACAAAAAATGCAGTAGTCCTTCTAAGGACTGCAAAAGTCTAAGGACCTTGGCTTAATTGGCCTTCTGAGCTGATTAAAAGGAAGTCTACGCTTACTGCACTCAATATTTTGAAAGGAATCCCTTTATGGAGCTGTTTGCAAGATTCCATTTATAAAAGCATAAGGACAACAACAACACAGGCTTTGGTAGGTTGGACCCTGTAGCACCCGACTCAGGCTCCAAATTAACAGCCTTAGCCTGCAATGGTTTCAGTGTACCAGATGCTCTGTCTTTGTCTTTGAGTGGGAAATCTGAGTCTGTACAGGCTCCTATTTAATTGACATGATACTCAAATTCCCTTGCACTGGGAGGTAGACCGGGGTGTGTATGTGAACGGATGCACATGCAGGCATGCATCTTTCCATGCACAGACAAAGGGTAGATAAACGAGCCTCCTCAACCAAGTCTATTGTCTGCAGCCAATTATAAACAGCATGAATTATGCCTTTATTGAGGCATGGATAACGTCTGAGAATCCCAACTGGGAGATGAACTCACAACATATAAATATGCAGGAGAGATGTATTAACTACTTCATCAGTTAGCAGGTTTAGAAGAATACAATACCTGAACAACAATCTCTCCCCTGCTTATTTCACAGTACTGTGCAGCAAGAACATATCTTTTTTGTAGGCAATTAAGAGCTAACAAACAAGTTAAGGTATATTTTTTTAAAGGAAAGGAAAGATTGAAGTACCCACCTATTTATTATTAGATAAACACGGCCATTGACTTTGGCATGGCTATGAGGTGGGAGATGAAAGCACAAGAATAAATGAGATGGCAATGGGAAATGAGTTAGGGAGAGAGAAAAGGAAACGGTTAAAAAGGAACGATTGTAGTTTCCTGTCTACCAAGAGAGACATATTGTCATAACAAAACACCAAGTCTGAAAGCTTAACACACCACGCAGTGAAAAGCCTAGGAAGCTTATAAATACAATATTTAGATTCTTAGACACTTAGTGTGCAACTTCAGTTAGAACTACAGGTACTTTCTATAGACCCCAAAATGTAAGAACATTCTCTACTGCTTTATCTCACGTAAGTCTCAGAATATTTTGTGCATTTTTAAAAACAGATATTTTGTTATTTTTTTATTTAAAGGTGATTATAATGAAGCATTATACCCTAGTATTTGTTTGCCTCACAGCCTTTTCTCCACCATACCACAATTCATGACACAGCAAGGAAATGGGCTTATAAAGTCCTAATCAGAGGATTTTCCCTTTTTTCTTGCATATGCAAAACTGACCCAGGCCCATGGCTCTGTCACCTTAATAAATAGTCAGAAATGTCTCACTCTGCCAGTTGCAGTATGCCAGGTTCTGTCACCTCTATTTGTAGCTGGCAGAGCCTTATTCTTCAGGTCACTTTGCACGCTTTGCTTGCATGAAACAGTATCTTAATGCAAGAAAAGTTTTAAGGATTGTAACAAGGCTCTTTAGTTACATACAGGCAAAATTCCACAATTACAGGATCAGTTCAGGGGCTGATGCAAGAAATGGGGCTGCTCTTCACTATTACCTTCATGACTAGCTCTCACCTGTTGTGGTTGTTTTAACAAGTCCTCCATTAAAAGGACTGACTTTTGTCTGCTTACTGGAAAAAAAAAAAAAAAGTTCATTTTCTTTAATTTTCAAATTGAGGGGTAAATGAGCTGATTGTGCTAAGAATTTTTAAAGCAAAAGGAACAAATGTCGCTTTAGTGGCTTTGTAAAAATATTGCACATTGTTACTGTACATATGAGTCTTTCATCTGTGTTTTAATTGTCCCTGCAACTTATTTCTATTGCTAGCATTACTGTTAAGCTGGCGCTAGTAGCTGTGCTAGATTTTATCAATCTTTATGCACCATCAGCGCAACCGTCACGTGAGTTCTCATGCTGGAGCTTTGAACTGTAGAGCCAGCTGATCCTCAGTACTGATTACTTATTGCATGAAGAGGGAAGAAAATAGCTGGCTCTTCATATGTCAGGCAGTGTTAATGGTCGCACTAACAAGAAAATGTGTTTTGATTTGGGAACTGGACAAGCCTGTGAAAAGTTCTGAGGAGGAACAAACGATATATGTAATTAACTGTGATTTTGAAATACTGCAAAACGACAAATGTGGCACATTTCACAGATTTAAGACTTTAAAATATCTAGCTACTTATCTTACAGCTTAGTACAATCTAGTACCACACAAAGTCTTAAAAAACTTTGTTGTACTGACAAGAAAAAAAAGAAAATATCACACAATCCTCTTCACTTGTTACTTTGCTTAAATCCTAAAAAGTCTATGGTGGCAATCTATTCCTACCTTCAGTGTCCTGTCCCAAGGATACCTACTCCTGGTAAAAATTTATTTTTACTGACTACAAACAAAATCCACACACTACAACCTTCTTTTCTGATACTAGCCTTTTCTTCCCTTTGATTTTTTTTGCTATCAATAAGATGCTGATAACATTTTGTGTCTTTAGTATCAGTAGCTTCACTCTTTTGAGAAATACGTCAATTCAGTTACAGTGATTTTCTCCATGCCAGTATTTGGCAAGCCGTAGCTAGTGTTTCATTATCTTTCATCTACAGTAGAAAGGACTTGTAAGTAGTGGTCCAGAGGCAGAGTGGGAGAAGAGTCCTTAGAGAGTCCTTAGACTACAAAAAAACTTGCATGGTTACCGCAAACTGTGCCACTTCCCCCAAATGCCTCAAGCCAGGCACAGCCCAGCTCAGATGCCCAACTGGGCTTGGGTTTCAGGGCTTGCCTGTCCAGTTCAGAGACAGTAATGTGCATCTGCTATCACACAGAAAATCTGATGCGGGCAGGGAAAGACCATTGCTCACAGACCATTTCAAAGGGCCCTTGAATTTACTATGGGATTTAGCAATTCAAGAAAAGCAAAAGGTAAAAGTATTCTGCAAACAGGCATTTAAATAGGTAAGTAAAAGAAAAAAAAAACCCACGTTTTTAGGAATTCCTTGTCAACTTGATTTGTTTGTTTTTAACAACCGATTTAAATACAGAAACTGGAAGTTTACAGAAGCAATCTGTAAAAGTAGAGATTATTCACATGCATTGAGGATAGGGAACGCAAGCATACTTGTACCAGACACTGTAAAGACATTTCATGCTAGATTGAATGTCTGAAAAATGTCTGAAATGTTTTTTGTAAACTAGTAGCTCACAGAGCAGAATTCTCTGCTAAAATAAACTCATTATTCTACAACACGCTATGGTGTATGTGATGTAATGCAGCTGTCCCCCATCATAAAAATGCAGCTAAGTTACACTTATCTACGTACAGGTGAATACCTTAAAAATATTGTCTAAATGAGTTGGTTTCTTCAGAAGAACTAAAGTCAGAGTGTAACATGAAACTGTGTACTCTATTTCCATTTGTGAAGTTAATAAAAAGGCCTCATTGTCCGAGGTGATGTGATATCTACCAATCGCTATTTGGCCCGCAACATGGACATTTAAAAAAGAAGTGATGAAGTGATCCAAAGTAAAAGCCATATTTCCTGTTGTTGCCAGGATTTACAAAAAGGCACATGCAACAGTTAAGCATCTAACTTCTACTAAAGGTCAAAGCCAATGAGATAAATGCATAAATGTCATTGATATCTCTGAAAATATACCCCAAAATCAAAAACTGAAACACGTATTGGAAAAGGGGGAGATAGACATATTGATTATGCTTTTTTTGGTGGGGTGGTAGGGAGGCTAATTTTTTTTCTCCCTTTTTTTTTTAAATCAGCTAGTTATAAGAGCAAATAACATTTCATGAAAAGCGAGCATTAAAAGACAGTCAGAAACAGCACTTTCACACGGACATACAGCTACTTCATGAGTAGCTCCATTTACTTTGTTTCTTTACCTGTAAATAGTGTTGTCCTGTTTGCTGGTTACTGCTTTTAAATCAGTGAGCTGGAGGAAACGATCATGGAAGTAGTGAAGGTGTAAAATACATGCTAGTAGGAAGGAGGTGGGGATAAAGATGCGTGTGAATAGCTCAGCCACAGAAAACTGTTTTAAACCAAGATCCGCTAGTCTGAAAAACAAAGTAGGCCACTAAGTTATCTTTTCACACCAAAATCTTTTCCTTTTCATGAGACATTATTATAAATCATTTGTAATGGGAAATAAGGGGCTGGTATGTATTTTTAGATCTTGAAATTCTTCTAAAGCAGGATGTTTTACAATGCAGAAATCTTGCACTTGGACTCAGCAATTTAGAGAGACACGGCAAGTGTACAGAGCCAAACCAGTCCACCCAAAAATCCCCTCAGGCTTGCCAGGAAGGTTGTCTCTCACTGAAAGCCCTGCGCAGAAGATCCACTCATATCGCAGTACTTCATCATGTAAACTCCTATTGAAGAATGCCCAGCACATCAAGAGGAGGAAGAAACTCAGTCCTCCTCAACAGCCTGAGTGCAGGTCCATCTTCAGTGGCTCCAGACAGCCTGCAAATCTACCCTGAACCCCTCTCTGCATCTTGCTCCTACAGTCAAAGAGGCAGAGAGAAGTATTGGCATCATATTGGAAACAGGAGTGGTGCCAAGGCCTTGGCAAAAAATAGGGGGAAAGAGAAGACTCTTTGAGCCCCTATCATGTGCTTTCCCATCTCTATTTTTGCACCAATAAATATATGGCTCGAGAGCTGAGTGCTTTAAGTCAGCTATGCCTGGGCTTGATCTCCTGATCTGTCTCCATTATAGGAAGGAAGAGTGCTCTCAAAGCACTCCACCACATTACACTCAAAAACCCACTGGAAAAAACAAAATGAAAATACTTACTTGTTTTCATCCAGGCCTGTCATGTTCTTCCACAACCCTGGGAATGACTTGAACTGGTAGGTATAGATGAAGATAAGCACCAACATCGTGTAAACAACCACTGACATCCAAAAGTACTTTAAAATCCTTCTCCACCATTCATAGTGCACCTGTAAATCACACACTGAGCACGTTAAAACAAGCTCAAAGCAAAGCCACTTACAAAAATATTCACAATGCTGTACTAGCAAATGAAGACTATTATTCTTCCAATCTGGCCTAAGGTAAACGATGTGCCACAGGTTCCCGAAATACAGTTTTTACTCTTGGTACATGCGCACTCAAGTTTTGACTTTTGTGTAAAATCAGACTGTCAGAACATGGCCACAGGCACAGAGGCCAGGGACAGCTTCAGTCACTCAGCTTCATCACTATTAGGAGTCCAGGAGGAGGCAGACTCCATGCTCATTGGGGTGTGGAAGCTGCATGGACCAGCCATCGCAAAGACTGGTGTTCTGGTAGGATGAGCACGTGTCCACAGATTTACCACACAGGTTCTCACAGTGATGTTGAATGGAGTCCCAGAGAGGAGGTGTGTATTGTAGGCATTTATGTAATTTATGTGCACTTTGCCTGCACTATAATCAAAAGCCAGAGGAGAATTAGTCTTATCAACCCCTTCAAATGATCTTATTACTATCATGTTGTATCTAATAAAAGAACAAATACAGTACTTCTGAATTCTGTTCTGACTACTTAACTGCCAAGTTAAAGGTATGAACCAGTGTATTCAAAGACAAAATTCAGTTTAAACAGTTTTCATTTACCTGATAGAGGGCCACACAGAACAGGAAGAGTACCATATAGATGATTTTGTACATGACAATTCTACCCTCAAAGCTGACAAAGAAGAACATGCCCCCACAGACGTAAATCCAGTACTTGATGAACATAGCCATCACCAGCTTCCCCAGGACTTTCATAATATCCTGTTCATCGTCATCATCCTCTTCCTCTTCCCCCTCTTCCTCCTCTTCTGCCACTTCTCCCTCTTGCAATTCCTCTCCTTCAAAGACAGAAACAGAGTCTTTGGCCTCCATCTATTTTGGTGGCTTTCAGTAAGAGTTGAAACGGATGGAAAGCTCTGTGCACAACATAAAAAGCTTAAACACAATGTTCACAGCAAGACAGTTTATTTCTGAATCATCTACACGCCTCCAGAACAAGTGAAAGAATTTTAGCATCATATGAACCTCCACCTGCTCCCAGAGCCATACGGCACATCGCTCTGTGTCCCTACCAAGTATGATTCTACACTTTGTCTGACGTGCAGGGAGCCATCATGGAAAAACCGAGCCTAAGGGCTGTGTTTTGGATCACGGTCTAAACAATATCCATGGCAATACCTAAAATCCCAGCAAAGAAGCCTTTTAAACTAGAAAACAAAGAAACTACCACCACCACCAAAAAAATCCTGATCCTGAGTTTAAAGGGATAAATGTCCTTAAGAGAATACTGCGGTTTCCTCCAAAAACCACAAGCAAGAGAAAACATTAACATAAAACCAAATAAGCTTAAAAAATATAAACGCTGCATTAACACTGCTGTTTTCACAGCAACTACCATGTTTCCACCTTCTTCTGCTGCGCCTCAGCCATTGCAGAAAAGGCAAACTACTTTAGCCCTATGAAGAGGCCAGGTTTCGCTAGTCATGAACCTTGTGAGGCTTGTGGAGGGCAGGGTAGGTGTTCTGCCAAGAACACACATGAGCAGGTACACAGATAACAGGCCTTCTCAAACTCATAGCACTTAGCTGTAATGTTTTTCACCTTGAGACTGATACTGAGGCTTCACCACCAAAAGGGTTGCCCATTCCTTTGTCCCACTCAACACCCCTCTTCCCAGACTCTTCTTTTGCTCTTGCCTGTCCTTGCACAGCTCTGACACTGATCAGATGTTTTACTGAGCTGAATATTCCAAGAGAAAACTACATCATTTTTTTTTCTGGGCTGTGCCATGTCAGTGAGTGGAACTGCTTCAGCCTAGAATCCAGAGGGAGAGACAAAATGGCAAGGAAGGTTTGGGGCAGCATGTGCCGAGCAGCACAGGTCACTGTCAGGTGTGCTTCTTATTGCACATGCTCCTGCATTTTAAATTATACATACTTACTCTCATATTGAAATTAGTGGCATAACTTCTGTTCTTGTACAAGCGTTTATGTACAAAGTGCAACTTTCAAGGAACTTAACAACTGACTTTTCCTATTTAAAACCTTCTTCTCCTATTGTCAAACTCCTACGGCAACTCATCTGCTCGCTTGATTTTGGGTGCAGGAATAAACTGATTATTTGAACATTCCACTACATTTTTCAAATGAATCTTTTAATTTATCTTGCCTTTTTTGTGGTTCAGCTGTAAAGTAAGCTCTCATTTGTATGTGATTTTCTGAAGTTCAACTGTCTTATTTTTGTATCACCTGAGAAACTGGTGGCATGTGGATTTTGCAATGTCTTGTTCTGCTGATAACAAATACCTTGCTAATTGCTGTCAGCATTAAGAAAAGCAGTAACTGAAACCTCTGTTATGACTGAAAGAGTCCACTAAACCTGATGTGACTTTACCTTTTTCTTCATCCTCTTCACTTCTAACTTTGACCTCAGATAAAGCAGCTTCTTTTAGCTGAAGTGCTTTCTGCTCTGTGAGGTGTTGCCTAAGCAGTAGCCAGAAAGTAATCGTGAAAAGAATCTGCAAACAAAAATCAAAACAAAAACAAGAGACACAGACTATTTTTATATCCCACTTCCTGCTAATGAGAATATGTATTTTCAGCAACTTTTCATGCCTTTGTTTTCTCTGTCCATCAGAAAACGGCAATGATGGCATCAGTGTCAAAGTGCCTATTTGTGGAACTTCAGTCTTTTAGGAAACATCCTGCATTAAAAACAACTTTATTACTTGCACTTTTCATACAAGTACTAACTTTCGGTCTGCATCTTTGCTTACACATATTTACCTATTAGGTTCTATTCTACCTTGTTCTATTCAGCTTTTTCTTCCAGTCTTAAAAGTTTAAGAAACTTCTGGTTATGCATCGATCAGTGTAACTCCCATCTGCCCTTTTTTGTTCTTTTTTCCCTTTCTGCAGGGAACAAGCACAGCCAGGTAAGTGTCTTGCCATTATTAGGGTTTGGCAAATCCTAACTCTTGATACAAGAGATTTGATACTTTAAGTGCTTAAACACAATTAATTTAAAAATCAAAAATTTATTTATGCTACGAAAGACACAGTCAACTAAATGTGCCTTGCATTTGGAGCAGACAGTCACAGTGTTTGAGAAGGCTCTTGACTCCTGGAAGAGCTCTAAGAGAAGATTAATTCCATAACTGTAGGATACCTTAGAAAGAAATAATCTCTTTAATGAAGAATGCAATTCTGTGTTTTGGAAAGAGCTAAATTCAGCAGGTTGCAATACTGAGAGATGACCAAAATTCAGAAAACAGCATGTCTATTTATCACACACTTGATTTTACATTTACATTCTATAAAGTTTCCTCTGATTTCAGTGGTGCAGAAAAGGGATAATTTCACTACTTTATAAACTAGAAGAATAAAATCTCAGACACAGAACATTTAAGAGCCAAGTAGTTTGTACACAATACAACACGATACATTACAATACAATACAATACAAGGCCAATAGTATAATGTAAAGAGCTCTCCTTTTTTTCATCTAACATGCAGGTACTTCATGGGGGAAAGAAGAGGTCCTAGGCTAGTAACAGCTGTTTTCATAGGCACTGTGGCTAAGGCTGAGCTGCCACAGAAGATCCTCAGCCTGTGTGAATTGTCACAGCTCTTCCAGATACCTTCTGGAGCTCTGGCTTTTGCTACACAGACCTCGGATATTGTAAAGCACAGATTTCTCCTGCAGCAACAAGCTCTGTCTCACTGCTCTTGGCATTTCCAGAGCCACAGCTGGGTCTAAGAAAAGTTGTGAAGGGCTGCAGAGCAAATAAATGCTTTTAGTTCACTTTCCACAGCATCCATTTTATTTCTTTTTCAGATCAGGACACACATTCAAAGCACGTGGAAAATTATGCAGAGAGAATTACAGTATATTGCTTTGGCTTTTTCTCTCCTCGCAGAATTCAGCGTTCAGTCTTTACTTAAATTTACAAAGTGCACTATATTCAGCCTAAAAAACCAGCAGATGTCTTCTATTAGTTTTATAGGTGTGGCTATCCCATCATATATGCACAACAGTTTCCTTTTTTGACAACAGTTAGTTTTAGATAAGAAATTTCATGATATAGCTAATCAGAGGCTATGGCAAATGGGCTGACATTATATTAAGCCAGTTGAAACTTTTTAGAGATTTACAAAGAGAAACTGTAGAACTTACCTTGCAGAACCCCTGTGCTCACTAATTTCAAATGCATTAACAATCCAGAAACGGTTTCCCAAAGGGCAATGCCAACCAGGAAAATCAGTTGCAGAATCACCTTAAATGGAAATTAGTAGCCACGAGGGAAGTGATACGCTTAGCTCAAGGGGAGCAGTGCCAACCAGATGCACTCTCTGGGATGTCCCTCTTGGCTCCTCTAGGAAACAAATTCCTATTTATGCTCATTCCAATCCCCAGAAGCAAGCCTGCGCAACACAGTTCATTTTGTAGGGCTTTCAAGACATCAAAGGAAAAAAAACTATCATGCATTGAGATCAACAAATCAGCTTGTTTGTGACCCGAAATGGGTTCCAGCTCATGCTGCTTCAGGTGTCAGAGTAAAGAATGAAAGCTCAGTTACAGTCACGTACCACTGCTTGTGCTAAATCATAAGGGAGTGAGCAGTATTAGTGTTTCCAGTGACATCACAGTTAACATTTGCCATCATATTCAAAGACAGACCTGACATCCTATGGGTAACTGAATACAGCAAAGGCAGTGCCACGCTAAATAAAGTCACTAGAACTGCAAAGTGTTTATTCAGCTGCCCATAATCATTGAGCTGACTTCTTATTCAGAGCTGCATGTGGCCCTTGCTTGGCTCCTGCTACAACCAGTGGGTATTTTGCCATTGACCACACAGGTGTGGGGTTTAGGGTTTTGAATGCCAGAAGCTTCCATGTGTGAGTGATATCAGTGCTGAAGGGTTCACAGATTGCTGAGATATCACGTTCTCAATTATGAGAGGAGAAGTTTAAGAGGATAAAAATTAATCTAACATATCAAATCACATATACTTTCTCATCTATTTTGCAGACCTGAACAAGTGAGCATTTTTCCACCCACTAAGAATTCTCTACAGAACTATTATGGCAAACTCCAAATATGTTTGAAATATTTGTTCTGGTATTAGATTTATGAACCGGAAGCAAGTTTTGCAACAGCATTTTTTAAATTACTTATCCTTCACTGTAGAACTGCTGCTGAACATGGTCATATTGAATACTGAGGTTTCATTCTTAAGAAATGCCAAGAGCTCCACATTTTTCATCACAATGTATTTTATGGTGTTTATAAATAAATCTCAGCTGTTCCTAACACTTACCTTAGATGCTAATTCCCCAGGTTCCTTTCTTTCTAAAAATCCTGATACTTCAGGAAGCTCATCATTCTTGAGCTCAATACTCCATATATACTGCAATGTTAGCAGTAAATTTCCATAGAAAACCATGAATGGTGAACTGATCATAGCGTATTTCCTTCTGTCCCGAATCATCCACAGTGTGCAGGACCAGATCAGTAACACAAACGTCAACCAGCTGTGGTATGTGATACTCCAAGCCTTGTGGAAGGAGAAAGGAGGAAGAAAAACATTCACAGATTCACTCACGAACAGCGCTGCCGCATATTGTCAGTTAAACTATAAAGAGTTTCTCTACTTAGCACATATTTTCATTGTCAAAAAGCTCCCACCTGTATTAATTAGGCCAACTACAACAAATCCCCTAGAAAATATGCTGAAAATGAATTCTTAAGAAATCCAGAGCTGAGGGTGAACCTTTCTTTGTACGTTAATTGCACCTTAGTCAGGTTTGCAAGCAGACTAACAGAGATGGAAAATACAGACTAACTTTTGAGCACACAAGACCTCCTTGCAAAACTAGCAGCAAAGAATGTAGAGTGGCAATAGCAAAGGCATGTTCAAAAGCTACTCACATTCAAGGCCTTCAGCAGACTTAGAAAACTACAATGACTCCGTACTGTTCTTCCTTTTGTGGAATCCATCTAAAAGGAAAGCTCTGGTATGTGCACACCTAACCTGAAGACCATTTAGTCTAAACTAACCATGTTAGTTGGCTTCCCATACTCACAGCTATCAAATGTTTTGTACAGCTTGCAGAAATCAGTTACTGAAAACTTCCTTGCTTTACACTTGGGGAAAGGTATTGTTTTTTCAAAGGGTTGTTTTTTTTTTTTTTATTATTCACATCTTGTTATCAATTTAAGGCAAAATTCCACTATATGCTGGTATAAGTATGGAATATCTGTCAATAGAATATTTTAATTTCCCTTTTAATTTAAATAGAAAAGTATGAAACATTAAGAATATTTCAATGAGCTTAGCTCAGCTCCACTGGAAATAGAATCTTTTAGAGTATGTGAAAAACACTAATATGCTACTCCTCTACTGACATATAAGAAATTAATATTCACTGAGATATGTTTGGCTATGGTGCAAGTGGAATTTGAATCAGATCACACCATAAATGAATTCATAGATGAATTTGGCTCAGGTCATTTAAAATGGGGATATTTCACTACAGAAGAATCTAGTGGGGTCTCAATATTATACTAGAAGAAGGGTTTTTAAATACATCTCCACCTTTGAAGTTGATAGAGATAAGCCTGAAAATGAACTAAAAAGGATGTGTAAAGCATGCAAAGAATGCAAGCTTAAAAAAATAAGAAAAAGAGGCATTATGGTACTAAGAAAATAACCGCTTGGCAGCGTCTCAAAATGCATCAAGTCAGATCCAGATTCTGCACTGGGTTGTTTTATTTAGTTTATAATGAGAAACTTTTCCTGCTAAAGGACAGCAAATAAAGTTTGAAACCAAAAAAAAAACCGCACCCATATGTATTTTCTTTTTACTATATGCAAACAAACAGCAGCCAAACTAATTTGTTTTACCATTTTTTAATGTAAAACTGGGCCAAGAAACTTTATGGTAAATTGCATCACAGATGAAACCTTTCCAAAACAGCAAAACCAAAGCTTGTATTGGGAATACAGACAGAGAACTAATCATCATGTTGAAAACTTGCTACGGTGCAACTTCAGGTATTTGCATCCAGGGGGCTTAAAAGCAAACAACAAAATGAAAGAAAAAAATCTGAGCGGTAAGCAATATAACAGCAAAATCTTGCCTGGCACAAAGTTGTATTTGCCTTGAGACTTTTCTGTGTCAATAAAGGAAATCAGAGTTAATAGATCTTTTTTCTCAAGAGAGTAAACTGTATGCATGCTTCAGGTCGAAATGATACAGAAACTAGATCAAAACTACATGGAATTTCAACAGAAACTATATATTTAAATTTACCAGATGAGTATGAAATGCTTTAAGTTTGCAGACAAACTTCTGAGTGGAGCACAAGCATGACAAACCTGCTCGTACAAAACCTTCGGAATCGATAGAAAACTGATCCTTGATGGTTTTCTGACATTCAGTAGATAACAAAACACCGGGTTTCCAGTCCTGGGAATGCGATGCTTTACCCAGAACCCTGTGTGCTGCCCTACTTACAGGTCTGTTACAGACTTGGGAATGATGTATTAATTACCTAAAACGGAACCAAAACGGTGCAGACACCATACTGATATTTTATAACCCTGATGCAAACACTAATTGAAAATCAACAGACAAGAATAATCTCAGGAAAATGCTGAGAAGACAAATATATTTGTAAAATCAACGTCATCTTTTTTTTGTTGCCAGTACTTACCATCATAGCTATCAGAGCACAAATGTAACTTTGTTTCATGATAAATTGGAACACAGAGACCATGGCATGTAATTTAACGTTTTCTTTTTCCTCCTGAGTAACTTCCTCTTCCTCCTCCTCCTCCTCCTCTTCCTTTTCTAAGTAGAAAAAGAAATTCTTATTTGCAATTCATACTGATCTAAAAGTAGTATATGCCCTCAGTATACACCCTCTCTCCAGGTAAGGATCCCTGGAATGATTTAACTTGTATTCACTCTGATAGCTACTGCTACAGCCACAGCCAGCCCAAGATGGGAGCCAAAGAAAAATTACATTTGAGCACAGTAAAGCAACACAAGACCTATAATCACTGTGTTGATAGGCAAAGAGGCAAAGTATGTCGGATAGTATACGCCTGCAGCCCAATTTACAAAGTTGCCAAGTGGTTAGCCATCATTATAAAGTGACAGCAAATATTTAGATTTCAGCAGGGCCAAGGAGCTTAACAAAATGAAATAAATGTGGGAGGCAGTGAGCTGAGAAACAGAATAATAAAATATGGAACTGAGGATAATTCCCAGGCAATTCTTTTCACTACCTGACATGTCATCCGAAGGCTCCCATTTGTACTGTGGTGTTGAGTACATGTCTGCTTTGGCTGGACCATTTTCTAATGGAAGTGTGGGGTGGATGGTGTGATAGTCAACAGGGTTCCCATTCACTGTTACCAGCAAAACCTGCCAGAACATCGGAGAGAGGCACCGCATTTAGGGCAGCTCTTACGAGAATGAAACCCCCATTTCCCTGCTTCACTAGTGTTGGTTTTCTAAACTTAAAGGAGCTTAATGAACTGCAGTTGGCTCCTTCCACAGAAATTGATACTTTACAGTCATGTTGCACACAAAAGTAGCACGTTACCGCTTCCAAAATTATTTTTGGGAGCTTTTAATGCAATATCAGTAAAATACCAAATTGGTTTCAGTGAAGTTCTTTAACAAACTGTAAAATGCTGCAGCTTCTTTGAACTTCTGCACCTATTTCCTTTAAAAGATTTCAAAGTTTTTTCAAATTCCTATAACTTCACATTGCATCAGGCAGCCCTTCAACTTACAGACAGGTCATCTGAAAAACAGTAAAAGTGTGGACACACAAGTGAAAGTTAGTGCAGTCAGCTGAGCCATGGTAGGCGACTGCATGCTCTTAGCATGTCCCATCTATGAAAGAAAATGGAAAGAAAAAACAGTGTAAAGGTGGATTAAGTAAGTTAACATCTCCACAGGTGGAGAAGGCTACGGTCAACTACATGGCTCAGCACGCAAATAACTCCGTGAGCCCCTACTCTGACGTCCTGCTTTTCCCAGGTTACACTGGCAGTTTACAGCCAAGCTGGGAAAGTATCGGGACCTCCTGGCTTTAAGTTCAAAGCCGTAACCTCAAATTCATCCTCCTTCTTATGGCTAATACGTGGAGATTTTCACACTTTAGTTCACATCTAATTAATTTCCAGTAGTCATGAAAATAATGGCTATAACTGACTTTCCATTTTAAATTACTACAGATCTACAGTTGCTGGAGTTAATAAAACCAGTTGTGGTAATTGTTGTTATTGATTGTTCAGCGTTTATGCCACTTGTTAGTACTAATTCAACATTCCTGCATTTTTTTCTTTTTGTGAATTGAATTTCAGCCCTTGTACCTGTTATTAGAGCTCGAGCAGTAACAATCCTAAATATCTCTCATATTGGCGGAAATTCACAGACAATGGGTTACTGATGGCAGTACATGCTGAAGACTGACTTCTGTTAAGGCTGTGAGATAGGAGTATATTTCGCCCAGAGAAAGTATGCGCTAATTCAGACTCTTTATTTCAGGAGAATGCTATCTGGGTTATGTTTAGTTATATTCGACAGTTATACCAAACACAGGCTGCAGAGCATACTTCGATTTGATTACAGCTGTTCCCAAAATTCATCTGCATCTCTATTCCTCCGCATATGCTGAACCGAGGGAGTGCTGCTGCTCTGAGTCTGCTAGGATTTCTAGTAATCAGGATAAATGGATCAGTGGCTGTCCATTCAAAACTCAGATCTGCCTTTTCTGTAATTTGTAAATTAATCTCATATGTGTTGTCAGTCAGTCTTTAAGGGCCTCAGCATTTCAACAAGAACGAAAGAAAAAAATACAGCAAAGAAGCTAAATCAAGGTTTAAGATGGCTTGCATTAGAAAGCATATTTGGTATCTTATTTAAAACCAATGAAATAGCAAAGATCGTTTGCCAGTTGGTACTACTACAAGCAGCGTAATTTCAAAAGATCAAGCTTAAGGGCAATCAGTGGGTTCTCAGTGTAATTATTAAGGAAGTAAAGGACAACTATATTCTAGATAATCAATTATAAGGTAAATGACAGACTAAGCAAAATACAGAAGTTTTAAAAATGTCAGCTATTTGTATATATCAGTGTAATTCATATTTATATACATGAAAAAGAATTACATAATTACAAAGACTAGTAGTATACTAACATCTGATGGCTTGTATTCATCTTGGGTCATTGACAGAAGCTGCAAAAAGCAATGCAAGGACAAATTATTACAGAAGAAGCACGGCTCAAGCATTAATAAGTCTCACTCTCTGAATATAGGCATGCATACTTGCTGACTTTTACAGAAGGCTTGCATTAAGGAATTCAGAAAGAATTCTTAAAAAGCCAGCAGAATTGTACGCTTTGCTCCATAAAATGATTATTTTGTGTACCACAAGCATTGACGTGACTTTACTATATATTCCTGTGAATTCTAAACCAAAACTGAGAATGCTGCATTGAAATTTTAGGTACTAGCTCCAAGAATTAATCAGTATGGCACTATGCTGATTAATTGCTTTCTAATGATCCAATGCTTAAAAACTAAGTTTTTAAATGATCATTAGAATTGCTCTAATTATAAAGCTACTTCCAATAAAATGCTTATACAAATATAAAATGTGATACTTACCTTTCTACTTATTAGTGATATCCTTTTCACCAGTTAGAACTATTCTTCATTGAACAAAAATTTTTGTTTTTTTCCAAGGCTGAGTGATAAATGCTGAGTGATCACCAGAACATGAAGCAACAACTGTAATTTTTGTGTGTTAAAAAAGTGCACTAAAGGATAATAAAAAGCTACAGTAGTTTTATCTTTCCAGGAACATCTTCCACTGAAGTCAGTGAGAAGCTTTTCTAAAGACTTATGATCCACAGGAGGAGAAAAAAATCTTACACCAATAGTATCCTCAAGTGTGTTAAAAGTCCCAAATTCATCTTTGTGTATCATTGTTTTGGTTACTGCAGTATAACCTTTTGTCTACAGGAGATTTTCAGAAATATTTTCAGTGCATGACTTCTCTAGATTTTCTGTAATAGCTGCTGAAGATACTAAATTGAAAATTTAAAATTTCCACTGAGACAGTTGAGTTGAACTGAAAAATAAAATAACTGAGTCTTTTTTTTATTAAAGTAGATTCAGTTCATTCATTTGCTAGCCTGTTTACTGTTGCTGCTATTATGACAGAGTTCTTGGGGCTTGAGTATATGTAGCTACATATACTGAATATTTATATATATCAAATTTGACTGCAACTAGTCACATGAAATTTTGCATTGCAGTTGGTGAGGACTGAAATCTGACAACTTCTAGGAGGTTTTACACCAACTGTCTTCCCTACCCTGACACTGACACACAACAAGGGCACCAGTAGACCTGAATGAAGGTAAGCTGGCAGTTCCTCTTTACCAAGGAGAATGATAACCAGTAATTACAATGCAGGTCAAAAAGTTACATCAGGATGCAGCTCCCCAGCAGACTTTCTAGCTGTTTTGTGCAAAGATAAGAGCCTGATGCTAAAAGTATGCCCCAAAACTTATTAAACGTAGATGCTGAAAACATACGGCACATTCTCCTTTTACTTCCTTGCACTGGCTCTCCTGTTTTTTTTTTCCTTTTTCTACTAATTTTTACAAAATAAATTTCCTGCCCTACCACAGAGCCTTGATATTAAACCTGATTTACATAATCACATGTGCACATATTCTTACTTAAGGCCTACATTAAGCTTCGTCCATTAATTTCAAAGGAATTTCGGTAAAATTAACTGAAGATTTCAAACACGTTTAAGGCAGAGAACCTTTCCCCTCCAGCCTTACTTTTCTCTCATCAGTTGTGTAGTGGCTTGCGTACCACAGACTACGTCTTCTCTCTGCTGTCATCGGAAGTGGGCTGCAGGCTATTTCTTTATCGTCTTCTCTGTTACGAGATTTCTCTTCATCAGGCACCTCCTAAACAACGCAATGACAAGACTAGTTATAATCCTCTAAATAATGTTCTTATAAGAGGAATTTAAGTTTTCCCCTAATTGATGTTGCCTCTCTAAAGTATGTCTTTGAAACGTGTTTTAGTGCTTAATGCATTATAGCTATGAGGGATGACTTTCACTGAGATGACATTTTCAGAAAGGATGATAGAACCATTTTATAACTGCTAGTCCATCAGTATCAATATGTTTCCTGGTAGTTACAGAATACCAGAATTACCCAGATTTACAGATCCTACTTTACTGTATAGTTGCACCATAAGCTATTATACAGACATTTAATCTTCAAGACAGTTTTTTGAAAGAAAATTCACTCTTCCCTGCTGCCTGTATGTGAAAGACAATTCATTAAACTTTTGTTTCATTAAACTAAAGAATTAAAAAGAAAAGCTCAAAACCTTTTGAACATATGCAACTATCATTAAAGACTAACCTAAGGCGCTAATCCATGTCGCAATATCTAATATAGTCAATGCTAGTCACCCATCTAGGCTCATCTGGTCTTTCTCCTGAGCCATGAAAACACCTGTGTGTGTGCTCATGTTCACATGAATGACAAGAAGATGACTGTCATGTTCACATGAAAAAGCCAACATGAATTTACCAAGGGTAAAGCATGCTTGACCAAACTGATTGCTTTCTGTGATGAAACAACTTGCTCAGTGGACAAGGGAGAGCTGTGGATTTCATCTTTCTTGATTTTAGCAAGGTGTTTGACTCAGTTTCTCACAACTTCCTCACTGACAAGCTGTAAGATATGGACCAGACAGATGGCCACAAGATGGGCGGAGAACTGGCTAGACTGTTAAGGTCAAAGGGTGGTGCTTAATGGCTCAAAGTTAAACTGGTAGTCAGTCATGAGCGGAATTCCTCAGGGATCAGTACTAGCTCTGATAACACTTAACATCTTCAGAATTATCTGGATGATGGAAATGAATGCACCCACACAAAGTTTGTGGATGACACTGAACTTGAAGGAGAGGTAGAAAGGCCAGAAGAAAGAGCCACCATACAGAGCCACCCTGACAGGCTGGAAGATTTGGGCCAACAAGAATTGCAGAAGGTTTAACAAAGATACTACATCTGGGACAGAATAATCGCATACAGCAGTAAAGGCGGGGAACAGACTGGGAGCAGCCCTGCAGAAAAGGCCCTAGGGGTCCTGGTGCACAGCAAGCTGAACGTGAGCCAGCAGTGCACCCTTGCAACAGTGAAGGCAAACGCGTCTGGGCTGCATCAGCAAAAGCACAGCCAGCAGATCAAGGGATGTGATTATTCTGCTCTACCGGGCAAATGTTAAGCCGTACCCACAATACTGGGTGCACTTCTGATCTCCCCAATTCAAGAGAGACATGGAAAATCTGGAGAGGGTCTGGCAGAGAACCACCCAGATGATTACAGGGCTGGAGAAGCTGACAGATGAAGGAAGGTTGCAGGAATTGGGTTTGTTCAGCACAGAATTTTCTTTTAACATTTTGCAGCAGCTGCAGTATTCAAAGATAATCTCAAGAGCGCCTGTTTCAGAGCAAACTCTTGGTGAAATCCAGTGGGAATTTTGTCTGCAGAAGGACTCCAAAATGCAGTTCACATAAGAAGGAAAGAATGCCAGGTCTACACAGTCTCACAATCTGATCTTAAAATCTGTTACTCCAATATTACACTTGGCTTATACACATTTTTTAGACTGAATAAGAAAAGCTATTTCTTTAGCCTAATGTAGCAAATATGTTTAAATTCTGAACAAAGCGTGTCCTAAAACAGGTTTTGTTCAAAAGATACTTTTGAATAAAATTTCTAAGGTGAGACAGTTGTACCTATATGTGACAGCAATAAACAGAGAACAACTGTTTCACATTAAATAGCACGTGGCATACCTACTTTGCCATCCATCCATTTATAGGTAGGTTAAAGGTGAGATCACAAAGACAGTATAACTTTGAAAACACTGGGGATTGCAAAGGCAGGTTATATACTTAGCAATGAACCAAATGCATCACACATTCACAAGCCAAAAATCGTACTGCCATGAAACCTGGGATACAATTATTTCTGGATTTAAACAACAATTAAGAATGTAGTTTACCAGCAAAAGGCTAGTAAGAGAAAGATTAATTCCTGATCCATGGCACCACTAAAGGAAAATTAGAGAGAGAGAGAAAGATAGAAAGAGAGAGAGAGAAAGAAGGACATAAAGAAAAAGTATGTAAAAGACTATAAATTTTGAAAATCTCATCACTGCTTTCTAAAGATAGATTCTTGCAACACTACATCCTCTGCATCAGAAAGAAGCATTAATGCATGGGTATAGGTTTGTTTATAATATTTTCCTTTTTAACAGTCTCTATTTCCCTTTGGGAGAAGCATAATTCCCTTGGCCCCTGAAGTTCCCAAGAGGTGCAAAAATTTTGCTTTGCCTCTCATGTAGCTGTGGCTTTAAGAGACACTATTTGTTTTTAAATCAACTCTCTTTCAATATTATTCACTCCAACTTAACTCTAAGTGCTACTTGGAAACCACTTCTAATTTGAGGTGTTCCCATTCCTCAGAGACTGATTTTAGTGTCTTATTGGAAGATCCACCTCAGTCAATCTGAGTCATCTAAGAGAAAGAAGTGCGGGCTAGTCCCCTATTGTTCCTCCATAGCTCACAGAGGGGCTGGTGGGATTCACCTTCTTCTGAGACAGACAGGCCCATTTCTCTCCACTGAGAGTAGCTAACAAACCTGGCACCAAACTTTAAGACAGTGACAAATTGGATGAGAAGAATCCAGGTACTGGAAATGCATTCCCAGAGATGCTGAGATCACACAGCTCCCATTAACTGCATTTCACATGTGGTTGTTCCTCTGTGAAAAGTTCTCATGATTTTACTATAAAGTTTGTGAGATGTGAAGTTTCAGTTACAGCCCCAGTGCTAAAATCATATTATTATCTGAAAATCTCAGTTTTCATTTCAGGAAAGAAAAAAGCAAGTTTCCAGCTGCTGCAGCTGCAGAAAATATAATAAGGAAAAAGATCCTAAAATAATCCAATGCCAGAGGGCATTGGACCACAATCTTTCAAAAGATTGATGCGGTTTAAAAAAAAGCCAATCTTCAGATTTCTGGACACTTGAGATATGATTTTTTTAATAACTCAAGCTGGCAGTTCTGGCATTATTCACCTTTTAGTATGAAATTCAATATACACAAAACCCAAACATTAGACATCCAAATTCAGAGGTGATGTATTTTATCTGCATTTTAAATGCTAAACTTTTATATTATCCCTTGTATGAAGAAACACCTTTAAAATACGAAAACCTTAAACTTTTTTCTTCTTACTACAAAACCTCACTAATTCACAGCTTAGTCCTGAGTACTTACACTGTGGTACATAGCACTGCTAAACCTGCACCGTAAAAACCATGCCTATCCTCAGAAAATCACAAGATTAAAATAAATAAAGCTTAGGATCATCCTTTTTATACTTCTGGTTTCTAAGCTGTAAAGGTACGTTTGGGTTGTTATTTTCCTCTGAAATAGAAAGAAGTGAAAAATTACTCTTTGTCTCCTTTTTCTCTTGCTTTTAAATGAAAACTGAGATCTTCTCTAAAGCATGCAGATTCAGGAGCAACGGCTTCTAGAAAATGGTGCTGTATCTATGCTAAAATTGCAAGTTTCTGTCCTGCTTCACAGTATCCTGTGCCAGCCTGTGTTTTAGTTCAGTCCGGCCAGGCAATGAGTCCTGGCTGTTAGCCTTCCATTTGATAATACCTACATTGGTTCATATTGATGCCGGCTTTCCAAATGAAAATGTTACAGCTCTGGCATTACAGTCCTTACATAAATAGTCCCACTGACTTTAAGAAGAATATTCATGTAAAAGCTGCAAGATCAGACTCTTGAAGACACTTACGAGAAAGACTGAATTCTAGATACCAACTTGCAATTCTCTATCTCCCTTAACTTTCCAGAATGTTTTCACTTCTGTTAGCAAGCATCTGTCAGCCACCCTCAAAGTTATTAGTGATAATGAGAAAAGTTTGCTCTGTGGTGTCTTTTCATTTTATAGTTGGGAAAAGAAAACGAAATTACCATTACAATAGGCTCTTGCAGCCAAAGACGGATAAGAGTTGCGAGGGTGTAGTACATCACCAGCAGTAAGATTGGATTAGCATGGTGATACCAGTGTAATTCTTGATTTTTTATGATCATCCAAGTGCTTGAACAGTTTGTCTGAGTAAGAGAAGTGACACCAAACAGCCTGTGGATCCAAAAAAAAAATTGAGTTAGAGAATAAATATCAAATCTTACATTGTATAGTATTTTTTAACATTTCAGTAATTTTTGCTTACCTATAATACCGATTGCTCTGCTCAAAAATAAGATTTGCCATCTTCTAAAATGCAATTAATATTTTCATTCCACAATACTTAATGAAAAGGAATGTTTTTGCACTCAGTTTTCAACACCGAAAATGGAAGCATAATGTTACTATACCTACTATGTCCAATGCAAAAACTTAAAATGACCTGAGTCCTGTAGATCCAGACCTACAGAATAAGGGGAGAGAAAATCTGGCTGCAAGGCCATTTAAATCACAGTAACACGACATTTCAGAGCGATTCAGTAAACTGATATGCAACACCATTGCACTCACTCTGCCAAGACAGAGCTGTAAAGTACATGTACATACTATTGCTAGTACACACTATCAATAAATTGTGCTAATTATGCAAACACTAATACACATACAGAGCTCCACTGAACTCAGAGCCGTTATGAATAGAAAAGGAAAACATTCAGAAAAGCAATTGTACTGGAGGATCAAATCATTGATTTAAAAAAAAGCAGAAAAAGGTTATGGTACAATTAGTGTCAATGCAGTTACAGTATGAAGACTGCTGATATGAGATCTCTCTTCTGTTTCTGCAAGAATTGGGATCTCACAGTATTTCCACCAAGTAAGAAACTGTGAGTTGAAAAAAAACTTAAGAATTAGGAAAAAAAAAATCAATATTTCAAATTTAAGACAAGATGTTAGGTGTATTGTACGTGAAATAAAGCTGGTAGGAAGGCATAAATAATCTGGTTCTTTCAGTGTAAAACATTTTACAGGGTTCTAAGCTAATTTATAAAATTACCAGTAGCATACGTCAGTATTCATTATAAATAGTTTTGTTTTATCGATAAAGTTTTTTTCTATCGATAAAGTTAAACAATGTGTTTGAAAGTTTTCAATTTTTACATGAAATAGATTTGATTCTAAGACATCCATGTTTAAGGAGAACTATTTCCTGATAGAACACAAAATTCCAAACTCCAGTTACTCTGAAAGAGTAAAACAAATATACTAAAAAAAAAAGTTTTTCTATTTTTAATCATAAGTAGTAAATGTCTAGAGGATTACTTCTTCTTTGACTCAGTATGACCCAACATAAAAGGATGAATGAACATAAAGAACTAATGAGTATGATGTGGAACAAGAGATGTATTACCTGAAATGTGTCCTTCAGATGTTATAAAGTGAAAAGAATTTTAAAAAGAAGAGGTTATCTCTCTTCATTCACTGGACATTAGCGGTATGGGTACAACACCATTAGCTGCCAGAACTAGTGCTCTATAGCATTTTATTAAACAATTTATCAGCACTCACTTCTCATTCTGATCGTCAATATGAGCCAAAGGCTATAAACTTTAAGACTTCTTAGAGCTTTTGGGTGGATCTAAGGTTTGAAAGGAAAAAAAAAAAAGGATCCCGCATAAAAAATAAAATGTTGCAACTTAAAGGAGCTGACAAAGCTGTGTTTGGAGTCAACCCAGATTGAAACTTCCGTAGCATCCAAGCAGATTTAGAGCTGGTGTAACAGTTTGGCTCCATCTCACTGAAATTCACACTGAATTGTATTTTGCTCATATTTCTATCAGCATAGGGGAACATCTTACGTTATCTGGTTTCCTCTCCGCCAGCTGATTCGTAATTTTTGCCCATCACTGTTTGTTGAGTTCCTGTTAGTTTCATCTTCCGTCTCTATTTCATAATATATTCTTCATTTCTATCTAAGAACAGTACGAATCACCCTCCTTCTGTTTTACGAGCATGTCACAGAATCAGACTGCAATCCAACTTTTACTGAAGTAGGAAGTCTTTCCCTTGACAGTGAGTGCTGAACAGTTCCTTTAGAAACCAGGAAAAGATTGGTCCCTGAAGGTCCCTGGACCCTTCTTCCAGGCAGCTGTGATCCTCATATCACATATTCCATTGTCCTGTATAAGGTACACTATAACTATAAAGTCTCAACAACTTGCATTTCATTTTTATCTCCACTGTTCTGCGTAATCCTATCTGTTTGTTAGGAACTTTTACTAGCATTCCAGTTAAACACTCTGTCTCTTAGTTTTGTCTACATGCTCCATACTTTTGTCTACGTGATCCATACTTTCTACTATTGAAATTAATTCTATTCCCTTCTAGTCCTTCATTCACCAAATAATCATAAGCTATTAAGTCTCTCTTTCCCCTAAGTTGTCACATGACCAGTAATATATTTATTTAACTCATTTCACCTTGTCTCATAAATCAAGAATCCAGAGGAACTGCTGTGATTTTCACTTCTGAAGTCTCACCAGTTTTTGTTAATAGTTAGGCATGAAGGTATTCAACACTGCATACCCAAAGCACCCAATTCAAAACACGCTGAAGTCTTGGGAACGCTCATTCTGTGGACTTGAATAAGGCTACAAGCTGCCACTCATTCAATATTTAAGTTTGGTCATTATCCTAAGGGAGAATTGCTGGTGCAGAATATTTTTCAAGGACAGGACACAAACTCATTTTTTCTTATTCAAAACATTTAAATGCACAGGAATGACTGCCATAAAACATACAAACACTTAAAGTAGGCAATATATATCATGTCATTATATTCAGTTTCGCATACTTCGTTCCAGAAAGGTGTCATTATACTCAGTATTAATTCGGATCAGCTGTATTTGTGCCCAACTCTGATCTTAGCACGGCTTCTTCTTAACCAACATTACATGTATACTATTAATAAAGTCAGAATGAGGCTTTAATAAGGGAAATCAGATACAAAAGAAGACAAGCATGTACATCTCTGGACACAGAAAACAAATAAAACAAACACGGAGGGACCACTTATTACTGGAAATGTTTTACTTTTCAAAAGATTGCATTTAACTTCAAGAACAACTGGAGATTTGCAAGATGCAATAGATTTATCTTTCATTCTCACAAAGAAGTAAAAATTGTTTCTCAAAAATTGGTTCTCAAAGTCTTCATCAGTATTCTGAAAAAAATGCATTTCATAGGAAAAGTATAACTACAGTAGAAACCATTTGGAAATTTTCTGAAATTATAAAGGGCCTAGAGGAGCGTTTTTGTCTGCCTAAGGTATCCTCTAAATAACAGTGAAAAATAGCTCTTAAATAAAGGTGATATCTATTTGTCCAAGTCCTACTCTGTAAGTTTGTTTTCCCAGTGAAGCTTCCTACTGAATCTGTGAATCATCCTTTCGGCAGATGCACTTTCATCTTCTGTGACTGTCTGACAAAGCTGTAAGTTGTAACCATAAAAAACTTTTGATACTAGTTTAGCATTAAAAATGAAATGAGTAAGATGAAAATGCAGCTTTTAATTGAAAATCGAAAAACAAATTCCTTTTGCACTCACAGATACTTGATCTATGGAGCTGCTGAAGTACCACATATATTATTATTGCATTATGTACATTGCTAAAACATCTCCAGCACACATTATTTTATTAGCACATTAACATAGTATAAGAATTGGTGTCAATATTTGATCATGCTATTAAATATGAACAAAGATGGCTATCTAGACAAAAATATATATATACATACACATATGTTCCATATACAGAATTGTCAAACACAATTATATACAAATCAGTTTGTCCAGTGAACTTTGCCTGCAGTGAAAATGATCTGGAACATTTTCCATTGTAAAAATATATTTGTCTGTTCAGATCCTGGATGTGCTGATGTTTTAGAAGCTGATTTCAGATCAGGATTTGCCTCATAATTTCCAAGGCCAGGAAAGGAAGTAATAATTCTGACTGCCTACACAACATAGGACACACAGTAAGTCTTGTATCGATCAAATAACTTGTGGTTGAATTAAAGTTTATGGTTTAGAAAGACATCCACTCTTGATTTCAAGTGACAGCAACTCTTATATCGCCTTATTAATTTCTAATGCATTAGTCTCTAGAATAGTTTTGTCTAGCTGAGATTTCAGTTCCTGCATCTTCCTACACCTGTGCGTGCTACTTTCCATATTACTTTTCACTACACAACAGACTGGGAGTCATTTTCCTATATCTTCTCTGAGCTCTTGAGTTTTTAGTGACCTTATCCAATAATCCAAAGCAAGCATCTATAGTCCACCTCCATCGCTCAGTGCGGCTTTCACTTCTTTGTACATCCTACCGGGCACACTTAGCAACTACCTAAAACATCAGAGCAGAAGCCCATATTTACTTGTTTATCCAAATACATTCAAGCTCTCTTGGGCAGTTTAACATCAGTGAGGAAATACGTGAAAGCTGTTTATTGGTACTAGACTGACAACTTCTAAACTGGCTGATGCACAATCTTCATGCACCAATACACCAGTAAACAAAAAATTCCAAGGACAATGGAGCGTTTTTTTTTTTTTTCCTCTCTCTCTCGCTCTCTCTCAAGTATTACTTTATAGCTTTGTTTTCTGAGGAACTGCTTTGTCTCTTTTTTTTTTCCTGAGCATGCTGGCCAGTTCCAAAAAAAAACAAAACAAAACAAAAAAAATCAATCAGCCAGGGGAGTAGGACACACCAACGACTAACTTCTCGTGAGCTTTATGAAAATGACTGACTGGTAAAAGGAGGAGATGGAGATGTAGACAGAGATAGAGATGGAGATGGAGAGAGAGAGAGAGAGAAGGAGAGAGAGGGAGAGAGCCTTACTATGTGATAGGCTTTGAAGGCAGACAGAGAAATCCTGGATTCATGTCTTCGATTGTTCATCACAACTATTTAGAGTTTTAGAAAATTCAATTCAAATGGAATTGCAGTTCATATTGTGGGGGTTTTCTTTAACTTGTCAGAAATCACTTGGGATGAGACTATGCTGAAATTCTGACCGAGTCTGACAGCTGTTTCAGTCGTTCAAGGACTGGGAATAAAAATTACTTTAAAATGTTATTCAGAGCACTTTAGTGACAGAAGCAATCACCTTGCATGC